GTCCCGAAGGCTACCGGGAACGCGGGCCTTTTGACAACGCAACCCCATAGCGGCCGACTTCCGTACAGTAATGCCAATTCATACTCACGACGACAGACAGCAACCAATATCCGGATTTAATACGGATGATGCCCACCGGTCAAATCGGAAAGTGATACAATTCTATGATGAATTTGTTCTGACTTTGCTTCATCTCTTCCACCACCTATTTCCTAGACTTTGAAAACGTATAAACATTCTTGAAAGTAGTTCACTGTTAAACTGCATGACTTGACGTTTGATGATTTAATAGATATACCCAGCAATTATGCTCAAATATCTATACACCCTAAAATCCGATAATCTGTTCCTGTGCTATTACAATGAATTGTGGAGGTTTTTCTCAACTTCAACCAGGAGCCAAGTCTCATGGGTTCGGCGCTTACAAATCAACTACGGTATGATAACATATTTTGGTTTTACGAAACACAGGTATCCGGAAAGATTTCTACTTTAGATTCTTAATTCTGCATTCTGGCAGTTGCCCCACGGCCAGTCGGAGCCTCTTGGCGATGGCTGCAAAGACAAAGCATAGTGAGGTCAATGCGTCTGTGGAGCCGGGCGACGACATAATTGCTCTCCACGTGGCCAGCAGCACGAGGAGGCAATACGACACGACGATTGCACGTTTAACGCGGTGGTTGGATCATCCGTCGTGTGTAGTCAGAAGAGCAATAATTCTACCACTCAGTGTGTCGACATGTAAGGCCATGTTACAACACTCTAGCATCAAGAGAAATCGCCTCGTCGCCAAATTTATTCCACTCCAATACAACTAAACTCGTTCGCCACCATAAGTGCCGTCCAAAGCGCAACAAAGCATCTCTTCTCTGAGAGCGGAGTCGCAATGCAAAGCGAAGTCGAAACATTGATGACAGGTAGCACAGTACGCTTCTCAATGACTAACATGTTTCAGAGTTTAGTGCTGGCTACAAACGGAAGGTTACCAAACTGCGTTCGGTTGGCGAAATGAAATTAACCGAGGGCAAGGCACCATTGTCATATTCAGGTGCACATGAATGGAATATTGGACTGTTAATTTTACTTTAATTAAGGCTACAGGTATTTGGCTCTGCAAGCGCTTACCTCGACGAGGGACCACAATTTATGCATGGCGTCACTTCGTTCCTGGTGCTTTGCTGGAATCTGATGGCACGTTCGATCACAACCGCATCGATTAGGCTGGAGCATGTGTCATGGGGAGGTAGTATTGTATTTAGCCGTTTGACTTAACTGCATTGTTTTCCTCTGGTGATGCGCTCATTATTGAATTTGGACTGTCAAAAAACGACCAAACTGGTGAGATGTGCTACCCACGTCGTGTGTACGCCAACTCAACATGCCTTGAAATCTGTCCGATATTGAGGTAACTCTTTTTGAGAACGGACTTAGAGTAAATTGTGACGTTGCATGTAGTTTAGCAATATACCTGTTCACGCAACCTCCACGAAGTGCAGGGACCAGTTCAATGCTTTTGTTCGGGGCAAATTTCAAAGAACGTATTTCGGTGTGGCTGACGAAGACGTGTGTGCTCTGCCGCGACGAAATGCTGGCGTTAGGTCTCTCCATCGCAGAAATCGGGAGTCATTCATTCGGCACGATCCCGTCACTCGCCACCCAAGTCCTCTCAGGTGTTGTCCTTAAGAACATGACGTCTGGACTGTGGCAACTGGAATACCACCGCATATTCCCTTGTCGCTGCAAGTCGCATGGGTAAAGTCGGTATTACCAAAATACTGAAAACAGTGCTGAGGAAATCGACAAAGAGTTGCACGAGCACATGCACGGCCCTCGTGGCGACCCTGCTACGATGGATGTACTCAACAATTCATTATGTGTTTGGCAATACGATGCTACGAAGGATTGAATTGTTGACATTGCCGCGTGCTACGAATTGTGTGGCCGTAGTCATAGGCTCGCCCCAACGGTTCCCTCCGCCAACGAATTGTGGGCTTACCCGCGTGGCCTGCAAACGTCCAAATTGGAAAAGTGTTTGATGTATGGAACCTTTGGTGGGACGGGAGCCACAGTGACGGTGTGCCGCCATTTCGTGTCTGTGCCTCCAAGGATTTTTCCTCCAGAGCGGAGCAATCCAACTTCTCCAAGGCCAAAATGGTGATCCTTGCCCTCCTACCATGCACAACCTAGTTGACGCAACAGATCATAGCCATGGACATACCTGGGCGCACAAGTTGTTTTGCGATTGCTTGACTGCCTTGTGCCACCGCCTACTTGGAACGACCAACGCAGCAGACGCTGGCAAGCGACGCATCGCGGGTATGTGCTATCACTCCATGTACGACCTAATCAAGGAGCAATAGATAAATGTGCTGCCAGCTACCTCGTGTTCTCGCAGCTCCATGTGACCTCTTGATGCCTTCGGTGTCAATCACACATTGTTGTGTCGAGCACTGTCATTTTGAAAGTGACGGCATAACATAGAGTTTGGAGAGTTTGTTTCGTAATTGTTTTGGCATAATCCATCGAAAAATAGTGTGGAAAGCTTTGCACACCTTGGCCACAAGCTCATCGATTGATCGCAATGATGTGCGGTACTGTAGAGATGGAATCGCAGAAAAGTAGCCGAGATCCAGCACTTTAGTGTCAGGTGAGGTCAGTGGTTGGGGCAAAGTCTCAAAGGTTCGTGCAAAAGAGTCTTGTAGGTACTGAAGGTTTCATGAAGTCTGGCATCACCCACACTCACGTGTGAACGTGCGTTGTCGTGGAGGAGCATCACCTTGGTTGGCTTGCCGGGCCATATCATCACGATGGATAGCCACACCTTGTCAACATCTTTTGTCGCCGTAATGGGTTTGGTTTCATATGTTCCTGCCACACGATTGGAGAAGTTTCGTTGAGCTTGTTGGCAATTAACAAAGGCCAAGACGATCTTGCCGTCCCACTAAAGGCCAGTGTCGTTTGGTTGGTCAATGCACATGGATACTGAGTTTTGAATGGCTAAATCACGTGTCTATTCTCCAGCTCATTTCCTTTTGTCGGTCGATTCAATCGGCATGAGGAAGCAGTTTCGAATAAACACAACAATCCCGTTGAGATTTGAATACCAGCTGGTAGGGATATTGTTCTTGGAGTCGTTCACTGAGCAAGAGTAGTGCCTGCAGTTCAAACGTTCACGTGTGCTGTCGTGTATGCCATTTCCCACCTATCTCTACCATTCTTGTTAGGGGTACAGACATTCGGATTTCCGTTTGCTATGCCTTCTTGTTTGTGACGGGAAGGACTCGGCGGTCGGTTGAAACATGGCAGCTATATTTGCTGGCAAGCACTATACCAAAGTCTGGATGGAGGCAGCCTCGCCTTGTGGTCTGTTGCTGTGGAGTAAAACCTCCTGCAGCAAGGCTTCGCACATCTCGTTCGTCAGGTTATTCATTTAAGAATGCACGTCTGATGAGTGTGTGTTTTACTTGAATAGTGTAATTGACATTTGAGCGCCAAGAACGACGCCGCCTCTTCAGATGTACTACTGTAGTACTAGTACCACTGAAATTTAGGTTACCCAATTTGTCAAACATTTTCACCACCATGTGCATGACAGCATGCATTGTATATTTGGTTGTTGTTCTATCTTATCAATGTATTAATCTGCTCACTTCATCTTAATATGTGATGTAAACCATCCGATTTTGCGACGTTCGGTACAGCGACAACAACAAAAATAGCTTACGCGGTGGAGCTCCTGCTCGAAGCTCGAGTGGTACAGGGTACATGACCTCCTCGTTGTAAGATATGTCATATAGTCAGTGTGCACTGGAACCTCAGCATGTCCGTTGTGGTATCGTACTGATCCTTAATTAAAAATCTCTATGCAATACAATATTCATATTTCGGCCATAAAATCTATTTTGCTTGTTTCCTCAAAATATAACGACTCGTTCAAAAGTCCCGCTAAACCTTGTCCATCAAATCAACGCCGAGCCATGGCCCACCGCGTTTGCAGCCAAAATACGTATGGCTATAGTTAAGCGCACTATTAAAGCATCGGAGGACATACCATTCGAAATAATCACTCGCTCATTTTAGGATGCGCTGCTACAGACTCCTGTATTGTTGCTTCTCAAATGAAAATATGCTTCATTTTTGAAAGATTGTGTACACAACCAACCACAGCTTAAATAAAGACGCTGTCACTTCTCGTTGCTTCTCGTTGAAGGTCATTTTACGGTTCATACAAATTTCAAGAAACTAGTTAAAACCTCTGGTATCATTTTTCATCGCTTACGGTAATGGTCTCTGATTTATCTACTTCAGTATATATATTCGCTGAGGCGTGGCCAATCATTATTTGTTGTGGATGCGACAAACTAAAGGCGGGCTTGTGTTTGTGAAGTAAAACCAAGTGCAAGAATACTGTAAACCCGTGCGTCAGTGCTAACCAGCTCTCGGTAAGTGGAAGAGATAGATTTCGTTCATCGAGGGCCTCAGAGCCCTGATGTAGAAATGGAAGTCCTATCATGCAATTGTCTAGTTCGTTCCAACTCGCAATGCAGCCACGGCGACAACGTTTGCGAATGCTTGCTCCAAGCACGGCACACGTTACAGCATGACGGATTTGAAGGAGATGGGCTCGCACATGCGAAGAGAGCGACATCGCGTGTCCACTACGTGTTTTAAATGAATCACATACATAATGACGCCACCTGGCCGTTTCGCAAATTCTGGTGTCGTCGTTTTTCCGAGCGCTGCGACGACGATTGTGGAAATAGGCTCATGCAATTTCGAGCGAAGTTGTAGTTTGGACCTGAGCTCGAGCGGTTGTCAAAGGCAGTCCGTGTGACCTGTGTACTCATGGGCTGCTTACCAACAAGACGTTCCTTTTGTCAATTCTAATGAAACATCCAATAGTATCCTCATAGAAAACTGCTGCCATTTTAATCGCAAATGACAAACACGAAGTCACTTCCACTGAACGTATATAAATTTCAAGTGAGCAGGGAATTAAAAAGAAATCCATCGCAGTCTTGCCTTGGTAGGGCCATCAAGTTGGGCAGATCCACACCTCCGCCGGTCCAACGAGTCCATCATGGGAGACAACGTTCCTCCTAGATCTGTCACGTCCCCGACCTCCCTAGAAGCGTACCGCCGTACTTCTCTTCACCAGAGCTTCTCGGCCCGACCTACAGACGTGGCAAGCCAACCTCCGTCCACAGGTACACAACCTCGTCGACATTCAAACTTGCCACCCAACTCGATGAGCATGGGTCCTGGTTCTGCTCCATCGTTTTCAGGGCTAAACAACGCGCCGTTGTCAAACCCCCTCCCCAAAAGCAGCTCGCGCCGCAGCTTTGGATTTTTCGGGTTTGGTGACAAAGCGACTAGCAGCTCGAGTCAGTCATTTGTGGCATCGAATCCTCCACCCATCTCAAGCACGGGGTCTACTGGCGACTCGTCCTTGCCAGACACGTCATTGAACTCGTCGAACTCCCCTTTCTCACAGTCCGCTGTGCCCTCGAGCACCGATTCTCAAACTACAGGCACCATCATCACCAGCGGGTACCTTACGAAGCGCGGGCATGTCGTGACAAACTGGAAGACTCGCTTCTTTGTCTTGCGTGCCGGTGGGAGGTTGAGTTATTACGCCGACGAGGGTATGAAGAAGAAGTTGGGGGAAGTGCACTTGGAGAAAGTCAGTCCTTGGAGCGGTGAAGCGAACGGGTTCATGTTCTACACGAGCAAACAAATTGCGTACTACGTGTATGCGAGCACGAATAGCGAACGGCGGCGGTGGTTAGAGGCTTTGTCGGACTATTACGTCGAGCCGGATGCCGTCGATTGCGAAGGGTACGTCGACTTCTCGCCATTTCCATCGTGCCTCATCATTCTGTCGTCCAGATACCTGACAAAGCGAGGCCACCTCGTGCCTAGCTACCGAATGCGCTATTTCGTATTGTCTGGCGCAAGCATGAAGTACTTTGCAGACGAGACAGCGTATCGTTCTGGCGCGTCGGCCCTAGCCGAGATGGAGGTTCGAGGTGGAGGTCGATGGGACGGCGAAAGCACAGGGCTGTTCATCAAGACGTCGACCGGATCCACGCTGTTTCTCTGTGCTGAGAACGTCCCCGAGTTACAAAAGTGGCTGGAAGCGCTTGGTAAAGTCACTGTGGACAAGCCGGTGCAACCGATTGCGTGCGCGGGGTGGCTGACCAAGCAAGGCCACAAGCGTAAGAGCTGGAAGAAGCGGTACTTTGTTCTGCGAGGCACGACGCTCGCATACTACACGGACTTCGACGCGTCCAACATGCGGCACAGCAGGCCCTTAGGGGAAGTGACTGTCCGCGAGGTGTCGACATGGGATGGCGAACCTGGCGGGTTTATGTTTGTCACCAACGATAACGTTCCGTATTACGTGTTTGCCGACAACGAACGCGACCAAGCGAAGTGGCTGACGGCGCTGCGCAAGCTCTTTGAATCGTCAACTTCAGTGGAAGAACCGGAAAAGACTTGTCCGCGCTGTGCGTACGTCTTGACGGGCTCGCGATTCTGCGGCGCGTGTGGCTTCAACCTCCGAGGCACCTCGAACGAGCGCTCGCGCCAGACATCGCAGCCACTCGTAGTTCCATCATCGTCTGACGACTTTGACAACGACGAAGAGAATTCCGCGATGGACGACTTGGACGCGTTGTCGGAAGGAGCTCGGACGCTGCTTTTGGCCGTGATGCAAAACCCAACGATTCAACTGGGCGCAGAGTTGCAACGTCGGTCGAGCAGCAACCAGAATCTGGTCACGTTGGGGAATGAGGCTATGGATGCGCTCGAAATGGATGAGGCAGTCGTTGCTCCAGAAGAAAATGCACCGTCTCCACTTACCTCCACGGCGGTGGAAGAGGTTGCTGTAATCCCACCGGTAATCACCACTCCACCGCCATTTCAGCCGCCGCCTCCAGTTCCACCAGGACCTCCAGTTGCTGCTCCTCCGCCAACTGCTTCAACAGCGATCGCACTACCCCCAGCATCCCCGAGCAAGGATGTTGCAAAGCCAGCTGTTACGGCACTTCCCCCATCTTCACCCGCGCCTCTGCTTCAACCAGCTGCGTCGGTTCGAAAAGACTTTGTCGTCCCTGCTAGCACCAACAACGACACGAGTTTCAGCTCGTTTGGATCGGACTCAGGGCGTCCGCCAATTGTGCGTACTCCTACCACGACAGTGTCCGGCCCCATAGGGAAAGTACAGCAAAAAGCTATTGCAGATCTCTTGCAAGACTCTAGCGATGAAGAAAAGGAGGACGAGAGCCCGGTGAAGAAACAAGCCGCGGCGAAGCGAACGCAACGATTGTTTGAACTCCAGGGCTCAGCACGGCAGTTCGACACGCTCCCGCCTAACGACGACGTGCATATCAATTCCCCGCGTGTGGACGACACCGCATCTCGTCGACCAAGTCTCGACGAAGGCGATTCGTTGGTGTTGGTGGGGGTCGCCGGTTTGAAAGAGGATTCTCGCGCGGCGCCACAGCCTCTCGCAAACTCCAAACCCGACCCGCAGAAAGACCTGTACACGTTTATGGAGCGCGAAATGCAGTTCACGCCGCTGTTTGTCCCTTCTGCCGACGCGCCCGTACGTTGTCGGTTGTACGCTTCAATGGCGTACTCGACATCAAAGAAGATCCTGCTCTTTTTGACAGATTCAGGACCGCTGGGGCTGTGGAAGGACGATGCGATGCACCCCGTCGACGTAAATCATCCTTTTGCCATGCTGCCGTATTTGCATCGCGCGCAGCAAGAAGGCTTCAGTTTGTTTGTGTGTAATCCGTTCTCGAACAGCGCCAAGGTGTTTGAAGAAGGCGGATTCGAGCGTGTGGTGCCAATCCCGAAGTCGGCCACCCCGAAAGAGCACTTGTTTTACGTCTGGGAAAAGTACGTTATGCCGACCAAGGCTGAGATTTCGATCGTCGCGTACCACCGCGGCGGAGCATTGGCGGTGTCGCTCCTGGAAAAGTTCGAGGATGCCCGCCGAAGGGTTTTCCGCGTCGTGTTCGTCGAGTCGAAGCACGTTGTCGATCGCGAAAAACTTGGCGCGAATGTGCTGGAATTCCTCGGCCGTCGCACGATTCAGTGGGAAGCATCGAAGGAGCAACCGGTCGGTGGCCAAATTGTCGAATCGCAGGAGCGTGTGGGTTGTGTGTGTCTGTCCCTTGGCGCGAATGACTCGGGCGACGTTGGCGTGCTGGACAAGGCTGAAGATGCTGTATTTGCCTTTTTGCTAGCGAATCCATCCCGGCCTGGCATGACTGCGATCGTGAAGCAGGTGCGCGGTGCGCTTCGAAACAATCGCCGAGGCGGTGCCGTCGCCGCAATCCGCGCAGGTCTCCCCGTTGAAAAAACTTCCAACATCACGCGCGGTAACTCCAACGTGTTTGTGCTTGGCGAAGCCGACCAACACGGCGACCATAACAACAGCGATGGCGCGCCGGCAGTAGTGGACGGCGAGTCGGTCACGTCTCCGCAAAAGCCGACCGCGGCGGCCCAACAGTACTACATGCCAAAGCAAGTGGCGGCGAGGCCATCGCAAGCGAGCACATCGTCCAACGCCCAAACCATCTCGATGCGGGATTTTGAACTGATCAAAGTCGTGGGTCAAGGCGGGTTTGGCAAAGTATTTCTTGCCCAAAAGGTAACCGAGCCACGCAAGGGCGAGTCGTTTGCGATGAAGGTGCTCAAGAAACAGCACGTATTGTCCTCTGGCCTGGTCAATACAACGATGGCGGAGCGTCGCATCTTGACTGAAATCAACCATCCATTCGTCGTCAAGCTCTACTATGCATTTCAGAGCGAAACCAAGCTGCACCTGGTCATGGACTATCTCAGCGGTGGATCCCTCGCCATGCATCTGCGCCGTCGCCGCAAGTTCCCCGAGGACTGGGCCCGGTTCTACGCGGCTGAGGTCTCGGCAGCCATCGCGCATCTCCACCACGTCAACATCATCTATCGCGACGCCAAGCTCGAGAACGTCCTGATGGACCACGAAGGCCACGTGCGCATCACCGACTTTGGACTGTCCAAGCAAGGCGTGTCGGGGCTCCAAGGGGCCACGACCTTCTGCGGGACGGCGGCGTACATCGCGCCCGAGCTGCTCAAGGGCCAGACGTACGGCAAGGCGGCGGACTGGTGGTCGTTTGGCATTTTGCTCTATGAAATGATTGGTGGCAAGCCACCCTACTACCATCGGAACCGCGACATCATGTTCCAGACGATTCTCAAGCAAGAGTGGGTGACGTTTTCGCCCGACTTTTCAGACGCTGCCGTGTCGTTGATTCGAGGGGTACAACCTGTCCAAGTCTGTAGTCGTGGGCCTAACGTGTGTATGTAGCTTTTGACGAGAGACCCGATGCAGCGCCTCGGCAGTGGTCCCCACGGTGCCGACGAAGTGCTGACCCATCCGTTTTTCGACTCGATCGACTGGGGCGAACTCCTCTCGAAGCGCATCCCGCCGCCGTTCAACCCCGGGGTTGGCAAGCTGGACACGGTCTACGTGGCGCAAAACCTGCAAGACATTACGGCCCAAGACCGACAAGCAAGCGTCATGCACCTCAACGAACATGGCCCGGCGCGGCACAACGACTTTGACGGGTTTAGTTTTGTCGGCCGGTCGGCGTCGAGTATCAATTTGAACTAAAGCACACGTATCGATGTCATTTGGTGGACTGCCGTGCCTCGACTGGTGGAGCATGCGTAAAGTTGAAGCATTCGACTGCGGGCACAGAGAGCTTGAATTGGAACGGAGGACGGGGGACGGCATCGCCATCCAATGGCGATGGTCGCGTGGTTATTGTCGTCGGTACGTTTCAACACCGGTATTGGGACGACGACGAGGGAAGCAGTGACTGCAAACGCCGCCAACTTGTCCAGGTGTATGAAGCCAACGTTTTATGGTCGCAAGTGGCGAGACAGGAGATGCCGTGTGCGTCAAACGGCGTGCCTCGGACCGCTTGGTCGCATGTGATGCACCGCAGTCAGAGAAGGCGTGGGATAGAAACTTTTCACGATGGAGCGACGCATTTTATCGGAAATAGAATACATACGATAAATTTCAACAGACACCTTGTATACCATTTAATTTATTTTTCAGTTTGTGTTGCATTCAAAAAAGGCAACCTCGCAACCCGACAGAGCCATTTTCACAAGCCACAGGTGCCGCCGTGTGCCATGTCGTTCGATTACAGCGGCGACGAGATCCTCTGTAGCGGATACCTCACGAAGCGTGGCCATGTCGTGACGAACTGGAAGATGCGCTTCTTTGTCTTGCGTCCTCATGCCAACTTGTCGTACTACGAAGACGAAAGCATGAGCAAGAAGTTAGGCCAGGTGCACTTGGCCAAGGTCGCGCCGTGGGAGTACAATGGATCGCTCACGAGGAGTCTTTCCAAGCGAGACCTACGTACCAGTGACGATTCGCGGTATGGCTTCATGTTCTTCACAACCAAACGCGTCGTGTACTACATCTACACGTCATCGGCGAACGAGCACCAAAAGTGGTTCAACGCCGTGGCCGACTTTTACGTACACACGTCAACCACTGCCGACTGCGAAGGCTACATGACAAAGAAGACCCCAGGCACACTTTTCTCGTTTTCTCGGCCCAAGTAATCCTCCTCCTTCTCCTCGTCTTGTGGGTCCTGACTCGTTTCATCTAGATTTTACGTCCTCATGGGCGCCGTCGTCAAGTGCTTTGAGTCGGAGGACGCATATCGAACGCACGAGTCTCCTATATCCGTCCTCCACATCCGCGCCGCGTCTCGATGGGAAGATGGCATTTCGTTCCAGGGCGAGGCAGGCGCCATGCTGTTTCTTTCGGCACCGTCTGAAACGGACCAACAGAGATGGCTCGTAGCCACACAGGAGAAGGTCGGGTCGTCCCTGCAACCCATTGCTTGCGCTGGGTATCTGACCAAGCAAGGGCATAAGCGCAAGAGCTGGAAGCGACGATACTTTGTCCTGCGGGGGGCGCTCTTATCGTACTACACCGACTACGAGTCGGCGAACAAGCAGTGCCTAGCCGAAGTCGGTATCGAAGACGTGCAGGTCTGGGATGGCGAGATGCACGGGTTCATGTTCACGACGACCGAGCAAGTCATGTACTACGTCTATGCCGACACGGAAAGGGAGCGGCAGAAGTGGCTTGTCGCGCTCAAGGCGTTGCTGGACGCGCAATCGAACCGGGCGCCGACGCCGCTGGCCATGGTGCCGCCGTCTCAGCCTGCGCCTTCGAAAGTGTGTCCCAAATGCAGGCACTTGGTCACGGTGAGCAAATTTTGCGGTCACTGCGGCCACCACGTGGACATGCCGTACGAAGAACCTGTGCCGCGGCCGCCGAGGACGCCGCCACGACAACCACACCAGCAATCTCCACAGGAATCGGTGCGGGAAAAGCGCTACCCCAACGACGACGACGACGATCGGCAAGAGCGAAATGGGCAGACGCTGTTGATCGCTGTCATGCAAGCAACGGAAACGGGACGGAACTTGTTGGACCACAACCGAAAGGTGGAGGAATTACTTGCGAGGCACCAAAACGATCCCACGGCCATGCCAGAGGACACGACGGTAGACCAGTCTGTGGACGAAGAGCTCATTGCGGCCCTGGAAAAAGCGAACCTGCACACGGAGACACCTTCAGCGTCGCCGGGGGGCAACCAGGCCACCCACAACGTGATTGTCGTTCGGCCTTCCCGTATGGCGGACGACGAAGATTACTCCGAGTCGGAAGAAGAGCAGCATCCGAACCAGAACGGACGGTACACGAATGACTCGACGGACGACGATGACCACGACCCGCCGATTCTTGGTGACGACAAAGGCGACATCCGTGACAGCTCGTTGTGTGAACTCGTCATGGACGGGATTGCGATCGGGGACGAAGCAGGGAGCACGGTCGCGCCGCCCCGGTCGAAAATCGAGGCGTACTTGGAGGACGCGCTCGGATTTGACGCGCAGTGGGTTCCGTCCCGCGAAGCCAAGACCAGCTGCCGGTTTTACACGTCCAAGAATTACAACAGTGCTGCCGACGTCTTGTTGTTTCTGGGCGACTCTGGCCAAGTGGGTGTTTGGAAAGATCCTGCAAAGGTGATTGACGACCCGCACAGCCCCATGTCGATGCTGCCGTACGTGGAAATGGCGCTCAAGTACAACTTTGGCGTCGTGCTGTGCAACCTTCATGCCAACACTGTGGATGTAATGGATGGGGCCACAGTTCGTACGCTCACGGTGGACCACTCCGCATCTCCCGCTGAACATTTGAACTTTGTCTGGGACAACTACATTGCGTCGAACGTGCCGTCGACCACTCGCGTTGCGATCGTCGCGGCTGGCAACGCGGGGAAAGCCGTCGTTACGCTGATGCAAGAAGAAGAAGCGAGTGTGTACGAGAAGCTCCGACGTGTCGCATTTTTGCAGTCGACGCATTCGGTCGATAGCAGCTTGAGCATGGTCGTGCTCGAGTGTCTCGGCCGTCGCGCAATCAATTGGGAAGCGTCGGAGGGACAAGCGCTGTGCAGCCAAGTGGTCGTTTCGCAGTCTCGGGTTGGATGCGTGTGCATGTCGACGGGGTTTAAGACCACGATCCCTGCCGATGTGGCCGCCATGTACCCCTTCGACTTGACCGCCGACCACCTCAAACACATGCAAGTACCGGTTTTCGCTTACTTGACGGCAAATCCGGCGGTGCCTGGCATGACCGCAATTGTAAAGCACATGCGATCCACGTTAAAGAAGGGTCGAACTTCGTCTGGCCGAACACGCGCCCCCACTGTCACGAACGACCCACCTGCATCGACGCAATGCCCTGCTGCCCCACAGACTCCATCGCCCGTCAAGCCTTCCCACATGTCGCCCGATCCTTCGATAACGCAGTACTACATCCCTGGGATGCGTGGTCACACAAGTGCCGCCGAAATGGGCAAGGTAACATGTACAGTCGGTGTCGATCTTGACACATCCTCGAATGTGACGTAGAAACGCCAGCAAGCGGGAACAGGTCGCAGCAACATCAGCATCAAGGACTTCGACTTGTTAAAGGTTGTCGGCCAAGGTGGGTTTGGCAAGGTCTTTATGGGCAAGAAGGTGTCGGGACCCGATAGCGGAGAAGTGTATGCGATCAAGGTGCTGCAAAAAGACCAGGTAAACTCAGCATGCGCATCCTGCTTGTGTAACTGGAAGGTGGCGCGCTGGACAGGTCGTATCGAACGGACTGGTGCACACCACCATGGCGGAACGGCATATTCTGATCGAAGTGGCGCATCCGTTTGTGGTCAAACTGCACTATGCGTTCCAGAGTGACTCGAAGCTGTACTTGGTCATGGACTACCTCAGCGCCGGTTCGCTCGCAGTCCATTTGCGAAAATGGCGCAAATTCCCTGAAACGTTTGCTCGTTTTTACGCGGCCGAAGTCGCGTTGGCGATTGCGCACTTGCATCAAGTTAATATCATCTACCGCGACGTGAAGCTTGAGAATGTCCTCATGGACAGCGTCGGCCATGTCAGCATTGCCGACTTTGGGCTGTCCAAGCAAGGCGTGTCTGGCTTGAAGGGCGCCAAGACCTTCTGCGGGACGGCGGCGTACATCGCGCCCGAGCTGCTCAAGGGCCAAAACTACGGCAAGGCTGCCGACTGGTGGTCCTTCGGCATTTTGCTATATGAAATGATTGCTGGCAAGCCGCCCTACTACCATCGGAACCGCGACATTATGTTCCAGACAATCTTGACGCAGCAGTGGGTTACGTTCACTCCTGGATTTTCCGACGCAGCGGTTGACTTGATCCGGGGGGTACGCTGACCGTTGATACTTCAACTGCATTCGCATGAGGTGACGTTTTGACTGTGGCTATTACTAGCTCTTGAATCGGGACCCGATGCAGCGGCTCGGCAGTGGGCCAACTGGCGCTGACGAAGTTCTGTTGCATCCTTTCTTCAAGGAGTTCGATTGGCAACTCATGCTCAAGCGTCAAGTCAAGCCGCCGTACGACCCGCAAGTGGGCAAGCTGGACACTGTGTACGTCCCTCGCAACGTCAGGCAGGACGGGGTCACTGCTCGGGACCGAGAAGCCAGTATGCTCTTTTCTCACGACGGCGATTTCCGCGGTTTTAGCTTCGTCGGTGGTCACGCGCCGGATCTTTCATAGTTTCAGCGTTGTAGAACCATCACATCAAAATGTAACACATGTTTACTTTTTTTTCTTAGCCTGCTTTGGCTTTTCGCGTGGAAGTTCGGCCTTTTTCCGCTTCCCCGGCTTTGCTCGTTCAACAATTGGCTCATCGTCCTCTTCATTATTCTCACCGACACTTGCCTCTCCCTACACGGGTCAAAGTGAATTCCCTGACCCCACCAAAACATTTCCTTACAGCATTGTCTTGGTCATCGCTGTCAACAGCCTCGTTAACTTGCTTTGGTTTCTCTTTTGCTTTTCTCTGAAGTCGCTTGGGCATCGCATCGACGTTTTCGTCGTCATCGGTCTGATATATGATCAATTCAGCATAGAAATCATTTTCAAAGCTCAACGCTCGTACCTCGATGGGATTATTTGGTTTCTCAGTGACACCTTTGACCTTCTTGGCCTTTCGGGGCGTCTTGATCTTTTCTGCCTTCTTGTGTGGCAAGTCGATGATATTGTCGTTGTCGTCAATGTTCTAACGAATCGGCATGGAAACTTTATCCACAGTCTCGCTGATGGAAGAAAATACCTCGCCCGAGTGAATGGCATTGATGACGTTTTCTAGTTCGTCCAACGTTTCTTTTGCTTCGGCCTTCGAAAACTTTTTCGCCTGTAGAAAATTGAAGTACTTGAGACTGTCACATCAATTATACGTGATGTACCTTGGCCACCAACTGCTGGAAACATTCGAAAACCCCATCATCGACCAAGCACGACTTGAACATTTTCCGGAGCTCCACCAGTTTCTTCAGTGATTTGTCATTGAGCGTCAAGTTGGACAAGCAATATGCTAGGTCCCGCCAATGCGTCACCTCTGCTGTAGTGACGAACCGATGACAGAGCTTCTCAACCAAGCTCTCTGTTTGCTTGTCTTTTTGAATGAATCCCAAGAGATATTTGGTTATTTCTTGAAACGACTTCTTTGACAGAGTGGTGCTAAGTTCAGGTAGATTAAGAACCCGGTGTACTAGTTCGCCGCAGTACCTTGTCGACAGCCGCCCAATAGTATCTGGAAGCATGTTGTAAATTGGATTGTTTCCTCGTTTGGACAACTCGTGGAAAAAGAGTTTCGCGAGTTCGCATATTCGTTTGTCTTCATCCACCAAGGAGAGAGCGATTTCGCTAACCTACGCACAGTTAGAGTGAAAAATGATTAGACGAACTTGCACCTGTCCCTTCACTTTGACCATGTCGTTCAGAATCAAGTGTGTCAACACCATGATGGTATTCTTGCGTACGTTAACATTGACGTCCCGAAGTCGGGCATAAATATGGGACGTCCATGGCTCCACCAAGTTGGGAAACCGAAAGCTCAGATCCCCCAGCGCCACAACAATATTGGATCGTACCTACATGCATGCCATTATTGCCATCAAACGATGATTTGCGGGAATACCGATGGTTGCTCGCACTCCTTGAGTCGCGTGAAGATCAATGGGAGGTTCTTTTCACAGAATTCGGCTGAAATGCACATGAATTTGCACAAAGCCACGGTCGCCGTTTCCTTGATTAACTCGTCGTCGAAGGTGCCATCGTCATTGGCAACGAGTCGGATGAGAATTGGGCCGTATGCTCCCAACAGATTGCTGCAAAGAAAACGTGTTTCAGAAGTGGCCTAGGATACATTGAGTACCATACCGCCCCACAAGATCGTTTTGTGTCAATGCGTGGAGAAACTCATCCTCTTCGGCTTCAATTTCAGCGTGCAACCCGAGCTCTTCTTCCATACTTGACTGTTGTTTGTCCGCGATTTGTAGTTTATTGCGCGCATCTTTCACAGAACTCGCCAACGATTCCACGTACACAGCCATTCGAATCGCGACGTGGCCAAGGATGAACACAAACTTGGACAATTCCGAAGCTGAACAGACGGCTTCGTCGTGATCCTCTTCGTCCGTCGGGAACAGCGCTGTGGACCATGTTGCAATGATATCTCCGCATGGCTGCTCTGGAAACTGGCACACGTGAAAGAGAGCCTCAATAGCTTGTTGGGCAGCGTCAAACCACTCGACGTTGGTTTCGTCAATCATGGTCAAGAACGTCTGGAGACTGACGACGAGCGGTTCAATTCCGTCTGGGATCATGGTCTTGTCTTTGAAGTTCCAATTTTGCAGCATGTGCGACGTGGCACGAACACACAACCATTTGTGCTCCTCTCGCGCACGAGCACCAAGTCCATACTCCAACAAGGTATCGAGTCGTGGTGGGATCTTCAACATTGAAAGCAACCAAATCGCATGCCCGATCGTGTTGCAGGACGACTCATCGGAGCACAAGTCCCACAACGCCGAGACAACTCGTTGAGGCACGAGCTCTTTGGACTTCATCACGCCAAGGAGCTGTTCCAGACAAGTTGCATCGCTCACTGTGCAACCATCGAGCAACGTAAGCAGAGTTTGTGCAGCTTGTTGAGGTGACACCAGCAAATCCGTTTGGGGCTTGTAAAACAAGATCGACTGAAAAGTCTTCAATACAAGCTCTTGGATCTTGGGGTCTGATCGCCAAATCAACATGAGCATAGCTCGAATGCCTTGAGTGGCTTGGTGCAATCGAAACGCATGCGCTTGATGGAAGAACCGAATTGTCTCAAGGACATCTGTGATGGCCGCACTTCCGAGGAGCTGGATCAAGAGGGGGATTGCTTCGGTTTCCAGTGTGTCAATAAATTCTAATGCTTGGGTGTGAAATAGCAGCAGGCGCTCCAGCTTCTGCAGTTCGATTTCCTTTTCTTCTTCGCTCGTGGATGCTTGAGACTCGTTTACATTCAGACCACTGAGGCGTCGATTTAGTTGTTCCTCGACGTCCTCCATGATTTGTTTCTTCTTGGAAGTGTACGTAACTAGGAGTTGTTTCTTCTGCTCTTCGTAATAACTTCGGTCCAGAGTTTCTCTGTACGGGTTGTGCTCCAGCAGCACGCACAGCAGCTCAATGCTATACTTTCGCACACCGGACGTTTTGTCTTGCATGCGTTCCACTGCAATCTTTGGCAGCTTGTGCATATGGCGCAACGGCACAGCGCCTTCTTCTGTTAAGTCCTTGTAGCATTTCAATACGTGGCTGCGGGCGAATGAGTTGATGTCGTGGACGCGATCTTCAAGCACACCAAACAATGTATCTCGCCGTTGTCTGGATAGTGGACGAAACTGCGACGATTGCTGGTTTTCCTCATTCACTTGCGCACCTTCGTCGTCCGTTGTTCTGTCTCTTGCATGGAAATCGGCCATCAAGATGTGAGTAACTGCTGTCACCACGGCGTTGCGAAGGTAATATGACTCTGCATCCAGCAATGGTAGCACGATACTCAAATTGCCTAGCACTGTCGACGGCATTAACGTGGCGAGGTGTCCCTATGGTGTCGTGACGTGAATATCAGAAAGAGGTTTTGCGTCGTACCAAAAATATGGAAATATTCTTTGTCCCCGATGAATCTCGCGATGTATCGCGCAGACGGATCTTGGAGACTTCGCTGCCAATATCGCGATAAGAATCCATTTTATCCCACAAGAACCTGATACCTGATCAGGTCGGCAGCCATTTTGATCGATTGATGCGTCGTTTGAAGATATTGGATCAAGTCAGCCACAGGCACTGCCAAGTGTTCATGTGCAAAGACGAGTTCCAGCAACGATGTGTTGACGGTTACAAGGACGCGGGGTGCGCGGATGAGGCACTCCCCCACGCACTATATCGTGACGTGTCAGCTAACTTGTTCAACTGCGTGTGAGGAGTACCTTGTAGATAAGAGACTTGAGCAACTTGGACTTGAGCAAGCCCGGACTTTCCAGCAATTGAAATACTGCTGTGCAATATAGACCGATGAATTCCTATTTTATTGTCAGGTATTCCGGCACACCGAAATGGATTTCCACACCTCTTCCGGCGTGTTCATGTTCCAAAGCGCCAAGCTCTGGTCACAAAGAGACTCTTCAAGTGCTTTGACGCCAGTTTCGCAATGCTTGCCCCAGTTGATTTGCTTTCCTTTCGACGCCTTATCCTTTTTCTGAAGAATGTCCTTGTCTTCGTCGACTTGAACGTTTCGAATTTGCATGAGCGTTTGGCACAGCACAAACGACATGACCTTTAAGGCATTACGAGCTTGTTTTGATGCTGTTGGGAAGTTTAAGAGAGGAAAAGCGCTCACAGATTGGACGTACACTCGAATTGTCCCCTCTTGATTTCTTTCACGATATCACTCAGCGTAGAACTAGCCAAAAGAAGCAGGACTACTCGCGCTTCGTCGCTCATCACTTTTAGGATTCTATTTCTCGCATGAAAGGATGAATAGGAGGGAGTAAAAATACTTGACGAAGCTGTAGAGCATGTCGAATACATCCGTCTCGACAACACCCAATGGCTCACTTTGAATGCGACGTTGAAGTTCTGCATATTAAGAGGCAGACATTTACATGTGTCGGCGCTTATGGAAGTTCACGTACCTTTGAGTTGACGGACGTGGTCGTCCTTGGATCCATCAAGGAGATCTGTGACGTTCACGACAAACAGTCGATCTCGTTTGATAAGCTCCAAGTCCTGCACGTGGACAGGCACAATAAACTCTCTACCTTCCTCCTCTTCATGATCGGAGTGCACATCGTCGTGCTTGTTCTCCTCTGCGTCGCTCATGGCAGGACCTTACCTCTTCTTTGCCTCGTGGAGGCAAAATGGACCTTTTCAAATATTCAAAACGCCGTATCCGGATCACTGCGTGTGGCGTCCGGATCCGATGCGAACATGGATGATATCCGGATGTGACACAGTTTACCCGCAGTTATCCGGACCTTGGATCATGGCGACGACGAAGGAGGCGTACACGTTCCCAGAGCACTACAGCTTCCCTCCGTTCTTCACGTAGGTACACTGCGACCGCTCAATTTCATCCCAAGGTTAGACTGCAGCCCGTTCGATCGACGCGCGAGAAGCAACTGATCTTATGGAAGGCACTTGTGCTGGATTACCACAAGGCGATGAACCAACCTGTGCTCACACCAAACTCGACTTCCATCTTCGAGAACCAGCAGATCAATCGTACTGTGCAGTGAATGGTGCAAATGCCTCACCATTCTTGTGTCGATACGCAGGAAAACTGTCTATGGAGGCCAGGACGGCCATTGTCACGTACCTAGTGCGTTGTGGCAATGCTGAGTGGGAAGACGACACGCACACTCGACTGCGCATCTTCTGGAAGCCTCCAGCGGAATGGGCTGCTGAAATTTACACATTCGTACGTCCAGAACGATGGAACATATGACTGAGGGAGTGCGAAGGCCAATGACCGCGGCATGATCAACAACGTATACACCGTCTACGAGTTGCATTCTGGTGAAGAAACTGAAGGCGCAAGTATGGATATGAGTTTGATCTATTGCGTGTTCTCAAAGGTTCTCGTAGGTTTTCATGGGCTTGAGCCGTGGCTCCTTCGCAAAGCACTCGAAATTCTCGAACTCGAGGCCAAGGTACTTAAAGACATAGTTCCATTGACTGGACTTTATTCACTCAATTCTCTGTAGGCGGCCATCATTCATGGTGATACCCCTGACAACGATGGCGTGAAGTTCTTGGCATCAGTATGAAGAGGCACGCAAAAGGAGTACTGAACTCGTGATGGCACTGCATCAGTAAACACGACGTAGCGTTAGAACAAGTACATTTACCTCCACATCTTCGCACGCGGCCAGGACGAGCGTCAGGATGGCCATGAGCATCATCCACGCATATTTATCCGAGGTCGTTTTTCAGCAATGTCTCGGTATCCGGAACATTGGAACGGTTTACCGGATATGGAAAGCTGATGTGTCTGTTCAGGAGCGTGCTTCGTCGGACCTGGGGCATAAGAGCATGTTGCCAACGAGTTGCTACGACTTCCCGCTGCTCAAAGACGAAGCCACAACGATCGCGCAGGATGCCGTGCTGAGCTCGTTGGATGGTAAAGCATATGATCAAGCGAAGGTACCCACCAATTAATCCCTGCCACCAAAGGACTCGGTGATATGTGATTGTGCCATAGGTGAACGACTGGATCAATGTCATTACGATGTCGTGTCTGGACGACCTGAAGAAGCTATGCCAGGCGAGTGTGCCGTCTTTGTCGACTTGCAAGTTGATGCCAAACCCCGTAGAATTTCAAGTACATCGTCACGTGCACGATAAAGCAAAAGCGAGGGGGGGGCTTGGACGTCGAGAGGTACGATCGTCTGCGTGTGCCATCACGATCAACTACGTTTTGATGCTAGTGTTTGTTACTGGGACGACAAGTCGGACGGTACGTCAGCGCCGTCGAGACAATGCATATCTCCACGTTTCAACGGTTCGAATGTACAGGAGCGTGCTTTTTCACGTGGGACAACAGCTCGATGCAGGCGGCCATTGTGATTTACGGCCTCGCCATCTAGTTCAATCCGTGCCATGTGAGGCATTCCCCGTTGTCGTCGACAAGCATCTGGTCGATGGCCTACTCGACACTCCATTCACCTGCCGGGCTCTGTACTGGGTGCTTGTACCCTGACTCTCCTTCTCGACACACTCCTTTTGCAATACATTGAAGTAGGCACGATCGTCATATGGTGCTATACGGTTGTACTGTGGCGGGATAGCACGTTGACTCTGTAGTTACGGGACTCTCGCCGCTCCACCACCCATGAGAAAGGAGACTCTTCCGGTATACGAGCCAGCGCACCACTTCCCTGGCGAGGTGGCTATCATGCGGTAGTTGGCCGACCCGCAGCACCCAAATTTTGGGCAGAGTACAGTACTGTAGTACGACACCGAACGCATGGCACGCAGCATACTCACGGATGCAGCTGGATTTTGCCACAACGCATCCAAAACGTCGAAATAAAGCAATCGGATTGGATGAATTTCATGAATATTTGGAAAACGCGAAAAAGCAAGGGTGCAATCTGATCAAGGACTACTTCGTCGTCGTTACGTTGGTGAGATGAGCCTGGATTATACTGACGACCTTCAAGTTTCGGATCGCCGGCATTTGGAAACCGGTCGCGCACCATGCACCGCGAGTCGGAATTCCTGGATGAGCCCGTGCGCATGGTGGGCCGTGGCAACTGGAAAGTTGACACGAATGCGCGGTTGTCCGTCGCGGTCCACGAAAATGACGAACCCTTTGTCCACACATTCCGTCACATCTGGCCGCTCGTCTTCGCCTGTGCGTGGCGTTCGTTCATCTGTCGTGCGATGGCGTGGATCATAATGGCGTCTCGTAGTTGTGTTCCTCGGCGGCACGTCGTTTGGTATTTCAGTCGTGGTCAAGAAGTACGAAATCGATCCGCTCTATGGCAACTGGACCATGGCCCAGTATAAAGAAGACACAGTGCTCGGAGAACGATGCCAGGCTGTGGATCACGACATGCCGTGGCGAGAATTGAAGCGAAAGTTGTTAGGTTGCCGCCGCGGTCAGTACTATGTACGTCATTCGCTAGCATGTCATGATCTCATGGGGATGTCAGGATCCATTGCATGATGACTGCGCCGAATGCCCGGCTGAGTCGCCGAACGACAAGGTGTTTTCTGTATTTTGGGAAACTCAAAGCAATTGCCAGCATGTAACACTCTCGTCATGATGCGGCGAGGACACCTCATTTGACCCTGTAGCTGGTTGCGAACCCAAACACTCGGTTCGTCACGCACGTGATGTGGTCGTTCGTGGAACCAGCTGAGGATGGCGCGGTGCCCCTCCAGTTTCAGTACTGGAGCCAGGAGCACATCAAAGACTGCATTTTGCAGTTGCGCATGTACGAACCACCCGAGCTGCTCGACATTTTCATCGCCAACGAACGCAGGAGGTGTATCAAGAATTTGGTTGCAATCGGCGGGGCGTCGGCCCGCGAGCGATTCCTCGGGCTCAAAGACCCTGCCAACCTCAAGCGGTTCAAGGAATCTTCCATGAAAGTGATTAAAGAGTACGTCCTTCGGCGTACCCCATCGGTACCTCAGCAAAGTTGTCCACTGTAGATTTGGCTTTGACGGCATCGATGTCGACGATGAAACGGGCAACATGCGGGGAACCCATCAGGACTGGCTCAAGTATCATGGACCCGTCGCTGTGAGCTATCTGCAAGCGCTGCGACAAGGTGTGAAATCACCCTCCTACTTCTTTTGCTGCCATGCTCACGGCGGACAACATGCACTAGGCCTCGATGAAATTCAACAGCCCACTGAACCTCGGTACATTTTGTCGTGGGACGAGTTTCCGTCGTCGTGGGACCCTCCGAACGCAACCAACAAAGACTACCCTGGCTGCATCATCCACGAGGAAGGTCAAGACGGATGGCATCGGTGCTACGACCCACGCATCACTGACTTTGTCGACATGGTGAACGTCATGTTTTACAACATTAACGGAGGCAACGTACGGTCGCTCACCAATTTCGAGTGGCCTCCAAGCGACATTTTTTGGTAGTGGGTGTACGAGGTCGTGATGAAAGACACGCTCCCCATGAAAGCAACAAAGGTGATCCCCACCAACAAGCTAATCCTTGGCGCGTGTTCCGGCATGGGGTGCGTCTTGGAGCAGCCAGCAGGGCAGGAAGTGTTCAATGCGGGCAACGGGTCTGCCTACTACAAAGGTACCACCCCGCCCGAAACTCTCCAGCATTTCCTTGCCTGACGACGTGGTTTGTAGGCACGATGTTGTGGAGTGGCACCATCGACATTCTATTTGAAAACTCATCCTGCATGAGTCGGATGGGCCGCGCAGGCAACTACGGCGTCAAAATGCCATTTCGAAGTCCCCTGAATTAATCTAGGTCTGCACCAAGCGATAGTTCCTGCTAGTCATATAGGGTAAGATGGGTTGCATTCAATGGACTACACCGTGTTACCAGCCAAGAATCACACGAGAAATGTCCGAATGCATGCTGATCTCATGGTGCAAACGTCATCAACATTACCTGTACTGCTGTCGCCCTCGTCTCCCGCAGCGACACAACGAATACCCCTGCATACCCACTGCCCATGATGAGCGTAAGGAATTATTCGTGCAGCAGTCTCTAAAACGCGTTCTGTCGCTTTTACGTGATGGAATATTGAGAATTTTATCTACGGATGGGGGGCCCGAAACGGCATCTTGACGCCGTAATTGCCCGTGCGGCCCATGCGACGAAGACAGGACGAATTTTCGTGCAAAATGTCAATTGTCGCACTCCAAAGCATTGTTCCTGTGCGAAAGCCATGTCACGACTCAACCATCAAGCACGAGCTGTAGCTGCCTGTACCTCCATAGAACGCCGAGCCATTGCCAGCATTCATGACCTCTTGGCCATCCGGTTGAGGAAGTACACACCCTTGACCTGAGCATGCCCCGAGAATGATTTTCTTCGGGTCCTTGATCGCAGGCAAGACCAGCGCTGGCAAATGCGTAGCCATGAGGTCCAAGAACGGATTCTACGCACAACCAACGATGCATCACGCTGTGTGGCACCGGCCAGCAAACGTACCCCGAATGTGGGGAACCCATACATGTTGTAAAACATGATGTTGATGAAATCGACGATGTCGGCAATACGCGGCTCCCAGCATCGGTGCCATCCGTCATCGTAGTTGTACAGTTCGCAGTCTGATTTGGTCCACGACTGGGGAAACTCATCCCACGACAAAATGTACCGAGGTTCGTCGGGCAGTTGAGCTTGATCGAGGCCTACGGACACCACGACCCCGTGACCTCACGTTTGTATGTTGGCGCAATACCCTTTCGAAGCGCCGTCAAATAGTCCACCACAGTCTGACCATGGTAATCTTTCCACTTGCCCTTGTTGATGATCATGTTGGCCGTCTCGTCGTCAATATCGACACCGTCAAAGCCATATCTACGATCACGAGATGAGATGGCACAGAGCATCGGACGGTAGAGCAACGAACTTTTTCACCAACGTCACGGCCGACGAGACAAATCGTTGGAGGTTTTCCGGTTGGCGGAGGCCAAAAAACATGTTTCGATTGTCAGCTCCGCCGAGCGCGACAATGCTCTTGATGCAACGCCTAGAAGGTAGACGTATGGCATGATCGACACATCGGGCGTCGCGTACATGCGAAGTTGCGCGATGCAGTCCATGATGTGATTATCGTCCCAGTACTGCAGCTTTTGCTCGACGCTGCCATCGTCGCGCAGAGTTGAGAACGACCACATCACGTGCGTCACGAATCGAATGTTCGGATCGCCGACGAGCTATTACCGTCGTGCATGAAGAGCGTCAAGGGACAGGTGTGTACGTACATGTTGGCAATTGCTCTGGGTTTCCCAAAACACGGCAAACACTTTGTCTGTGGGCTGCGGGGCCGGACACGCTTGGCAGTCGTTGTGCATCGGATCGTAGTATTCAAAGCGGCGGCACTGGCGAATCTTTCGACTCAGTTCTTTCCACGGCACAGCGTGGTCCACGGCCCTGCACTGCTCGCCAAGCACTTGTTCCTCTCGGAACACAGACATGGTTACATTGCCGTACGACGGATCCACTTCGTACGTCTTGACGAGGAACCCGACACCATACGACGAGGTTGCGAGAAATACCACTACACGCAATACACGCTGTCATGAGAGGATGCTCCATCCAGGAGACGTACGGCCAAAGATGACCGGCCAAATATGACGACACGTGTGCGTGAACGACACCTCGTCGGAAGCCATGAACTTCTCCTGCACGCAGTACACTGGGATTGTTCGTAGCTGCGCGTCTGTTTGTCGTTCGGGCTCATCATAGTAGCTCGTTCGGTCCATCGGCGCTCTCGGGGACTCGCTGGCTACTATACCTTCTCTCTCTTGCGTTGGGTGCCGTGCTCATGAGCTGCCGGAAAATGCGATACTAATTTGCGTATTTTATGTGGCGGGCAAGGTATCCCGGCATTACCAACACGGCGTCTTTTGATCGGGTTGCACACGCCGCTCGCGGTGTGGATGCGACGTCACCGCAAATTGTCGACGGCGTTGTGCTCTGCTCATCCCAGCAACGAAGAGGGCACGAAGGAGCTCCAGTTAGCGTATTCATCCCGTGCAGGGACGAGTGCAGAGTGCGGTCTGCCACCCGTTCGTGTGTGGCCTCTACAGTGAATTTCGTGAAACTTGTTGATTGTATGGTATCGAATATGCCAATTCGATGCTGACATTGCGTCAAAACCAATTGTTCGAATGTCGAACAACCACCATGATAGCATTGTACTGTAGCCGTCGCTCGCAAACGCGGTATTTCACACAGGTGAAATGTCCATCGTCCCGGCGCGCTCGCGACCACGTCTGGAAGGTCGCCTTGCTACGTTTCTCCCACCTCGGTGTGGTCCTACTACGTTTCTGCATTAAGAAAACGGACTACGACGGTGGCATCCGAAACGGCATCTTGACGCCGTAGTTGCCGGCCCGCCCCATGCGGTTCGTCGAGCTCGAATTCTCGAACAAGATGTCGATGGTTGCACTCCACAGCATGGTGCCTATGTGGGAGGGTCAGCGGTCGATGGATGCGCCACGACGCTCACCTTTGTAGTACGCTGACCCATTGCCTGCGTTAAATACTTCCTGGCCAGGTGGCTGGTCAGTGACGCATCCCATTCCACAGCACGCGCCGACAACGATTTTGTCCCGGGGAATCACTGCCGCAGCTTTGTTTGGCAGCGTGTCGTCGATGACGGCACGGTAGACACCCTAGTCACACACGTCCGTCAACGTCTCAAATTGTTCGCGACGGGGATGCCGTACATCACCCCCATTGATGTTGTAAAACATCACATTCACAAAGTCGACAATCGACGAGATGCGTGGCTCGAAGCACCGATGCCACCCGTCTTCGCCCTCCGTGTATCGAATGCACCCTTTGTAGTTGGCATCGTCTGGCTTCGGCGGGTCCCACGCGTAGGGAAACTCATCCCACGACAGCAAGTACCGCGGCTCCCCTGGTCGTTGTGCTGTGTCCAGTCCTGGCCCATTCATTTGTCCATGGTACCGTTTCTCCATGTGGGTGGGTTACCTTCGCGCAGGGCTGTCAAGTAGCTAACGACGGTCGGGCCGTGGCTTTTAAGCCAGTTGCCTCCCGTCGCCACCATGTTACCAGTTTCGTCGTCGACGTCGATGCCGTCAAAGTCATAGCTACCGCACAGTGCGTGAGCCTGCGTCGACGAAACAGGTCGGGTACAATTGGACGAGTTTGATCGCACTCGCTTTGAATCGGGCGAGGTTTTCTGGTTTTTTCAGACCCAGGAATCGCTCGCGGAACGACGCCCCGCCGACAGCAATCATGCTCTTGATGCATCGCCTGCCCAATTCCACGCGTGAAAACGTTGTAACGACGAGTGACCGGACGACGTACATGCGAAGCTGCCCAATGCAGTCGCGAATGTGCTCGTCATCCCAGAATTGGAGCTTCGTCTTGATTGTGCCGTCTTCGAGCGGCTCGGCAAACGACCAAATGACGTGGGTCACATACCGCGTGCTCGCATCTTCTACGAGCTACATCCAGATGAAATCTGAACAGCATGGCGAAACAACACGAACCCGCTTGCAGTCGCTCTGGGTTTCCCAAAACACGGCAAAGATCTTGTCTTCGGGTTTTGCGGATGGACACAAGTTGCAGTCGTTGTGCAGGGGGTCCTGATCACCATGAAAAGTCACACAGAGTCCCTCACACAGGGTCCTACATAGTATTCGTGGCGATGACACTGCTTGAGTTTGCGCTTGAGCTCTCGCCACGGCACTGCGTGGTCGACAGCCCGACAGCTCTCCCCCATCACTACGTCCTCTTGGTACTGGGCAAGTGTAAAATTCCCATATTCTGGGTCGACCCAGCCATATTTGACCAGTTTGGACACTCCGAACGACGCAGCTGCCAGGTACACCACTGCGTCGATTGTCATCGAGGGTTCGTACGAGCGGGCACGAGAATGGAGTACGTCTTACATGCAAAGATCAACGGCCAGCAGTGAACCATGGATGGCTTCAGTGTCACGACACTGTCATCCACGGACAACGTGTGGGCGATGTGTTGATGGTGGCTCCTTGTGCTGTTCTTCGGGGCCTCCAGGACAGGAAACGATTCGTCAATGTCCCGAGGGTACATGACCATGTCGTCGTCGTCGTAGTCTCCATTGGCCTGGGTAACCCGTGCGGGCTCTGTGCCGAACATAGACGATCGGTACGTCTTGCTGTTGGACATCGGGCGCCTTGTCGATGTGGTGAACTGAACGAACGCCGCCCCTCCGGACACCGCCAATCACAACCAGACCGCGCTTTGCATCCGAACAGAGTGGGATTCCACCCTTTTCAACCCAGGATTTTGCCCAATGCTGCTTGCTGTCTGGGAATTGTCCTCAAAACTTGCCAACCACCACACGTGACATGGCCAGAGGGGTGTTGTAACAAAGGTGCGGGGCCCTACCGCTTTCAAAGCCCCAGGGTACTAGCAATGCATCGTTCAGGCGTGGCAAGATGTAAAAAGGTTGCTCTGGTCCTGTCTTGCCTTTCCAGCTGTTCGACAATTGCATTTGTACCACAGGCGCAAACTCGCGGGGAATTTTCCAGGTGTTTTTTACGTGGGGAGGGTGCACCGTTGTGGTACGTCATGTGCCTGCTTCTGGTTCCTTGAGTCGGCACATCTCCTCTGCGATCGAGCCATGCCAGCGTCATAGAGGCTCGACTTCCTCCTTTCTCTTTGACTTGGGCGACCGATGAACGATGATTTGGATTGACTCTGAACGTTGCAAACCAGCACGACAGACAGAATGTCGCAGGATATGCACGAGGTATACTCAGGTGGTCTGCCTCACACACGCTTGGCACGCCGTGCAATGGGCCTCCCATACTTACACATTATGTCCATTGTCGACGTCGAGACCTCCGAGAACAAAGCGAACTCTCCAAGCCCTTCCAGGATGTCATGGTGGAGTTTCTAACACTCGAGGCACCGGGGTGTGGAGGCACGCCCTTCGTTCCCCTCCCCATATTTTGCACTGTACACTTGCAATCCGAACTCAGCAGGTCTCGAGCTGGGCACTCCACGTTTTGGTGGGTTCCGTTAAATTCGGCGTCGCTCGGCTACCAAGGTGGTGCTTGTGACACACCAAGGCACGGATGGACCATGTCGTGGTACGTGCGGCCCTTCTGAGCATGTATGCAGACCCACCCTCTCACATATCAAGGGCTCATGCCTCGACCACTGGCAGCGACCACGAGCGGGTTTTCGTAGACGTATCTGCGCGTTTCATTGACCTGCCAAGAGTCCGCATGCATGCTTCCTCTGTCGCTTCGAGTCGGAAAGAGTGCGGCGAACGACTGGCTTGAATGTCCACCAACATATGAAGACCACGATGCCGAGAGAACAAGACCGTGTAAAATGTGAAAGATGATCAAACTTTAACACTGTACATCCTGTTTTCAAGAATCGTAAGCTCTTCAAACGTGGCATGAAACATGTTGCCAAAGTGCATGGTGCGTTGATTGCTTCGTCCGCAGGTACGGGAGAGCGCACACATCATCTTCGATGGCTTACCACCACAAAAACCTTGGAATTCGATAAATGACGATGATATCTAGAGATAGAGTATATTACATCCGCATGACTTTCGGTGCATCTGCGACACTCATTTGACACGAATAACTACTCTACGTAATGGATATATAAAAATATAGAGTGTCCGACTGAATGTATCGTGCGACTGGAATTGCGGTGCGAACCTGGACCAGATGATTGCCGGTATGGGAGCGACAAGTTCTGCTTTGTTGTTCCATGCGAAGGCAGCAACTGCGTCAAGAGGATCGCGTGGGCTGCGATTCCCCATGTGCCCAGCTGAAATTGTACGGCTCGCGCGCTGCAGAATTTGCCTTGTCGCCTCTTTGTCAGTTGTTGATGTCAACATCCGGATAACCCCATCCAGTTGGGTTACGACGAGGAGCTCAATATACGACGATGGCCGCCGGCTGCACAGCTTCCCACTGCACCGTGGTGGATGGGTCCTTTGGTTGTGCGTTCACAGAGATGGAAGTGACGCTGCTTCGGGACCTCGTAGAATGGCTTGAACACCGCGTCTGTTCATTCTACTCTCGTTTCAAGATGCTGAAAATTCCCATCTTTCCCAGTCTTGTCGGAATTACTGAAGCTGTTGCAGTCCGCGTGGGAGTCCCGCACTTGTTCCATGGCATTGCTCGAATCGCTGAGCCATGGGTATCCTCTGTCGACGCCATCCTTGGTGGACTCGTGCTTAACATCATCCGGTTCATCATGCGTATCTGCGGACTCGAAGTCGATGATAACCGATCGGTGGTATCTATCACCAGGAGCACCGCCCAGCTGGATCGAACCATTGAGAAACTCGAGAACGAGCTCGTGCGTGTGCAGACTCAATTGGCTATCGAAAAGCGCGAGAAAGACGATCTCAACGCGACCGTTCGTCGTGTGCTGGTCATGATGACCCACGAGAACGACGCACTTGAAGCATTTTGTGACGATCAAGCATCGACACATATATCGTCTGCTCGTAACAAATTCCTTGAAGACGAAATAGCTGTCGTACGTCAAGAAGCTGCCGCTCTCGCGTCGGCAAACGACGAGCTGCGGCGAGAATCGGCTACAGTTGGCCACTTGGCAACCACATCAGTATCGAAGCACAACTTGGACGCCCAAGGGCTTGTGGTCACCGCAACCAGCGAAGCCTCTGGCTCGTCTATATCTTCAACCGTCCCACCAGCCATAATGTACCTCGCGGAGGCAACGTATCCTTCGAGCAAACTCCCGACCGACTCAAGACTAACATCATCTATACCAGACTTCGTGTCTATTAAGGCAGTCAAGGCACGTCCAGGCGTTCACAAGCGCGCCGTTCATCAGCAGGCGATGCGGAGCAAGATCGAGACGTTGGAGGGCGTTAAAGCGTAGAGTTGGCTCGCCTCTAACATGGTCTTGAGTTGTTCAGTCGCCATGTCTTCTTCGTGCTGCGTGGCCAACGCGTCCATCAACACGGCTGCTTTCGTTGAAGGCATGCTGAGCACCATCGACGCTTCTCGCAGTCTAACGTGAAGTGCAGAAACATGATGTCCCGGCAACTGATTTCGAACCTACTTTCGGACGTATGCGTCGGGGCGAGCAGTGTATGGCGTCAATACCTGCGCGACCGCATTTACGTCGTGCCGGAACTGCACTCGTCCATTCATTGTTATCGACTACACACGAATACACGACAGGATTTTTAGGTTTCATAGACCTGCAGCGCACCACCCACCTTAAGACGCAGTACAATGCACAGCACGTGGCTGTCCACTTCTTTCAACACGGCTTTCCAAAACTCGTCGAACGACGCCGAGTTCAACGTGGCATGCGTGAAAGCCTTGGCACAATCGAAGGTAGGGGGATGGAGGGGAAGGAAGGAGCACTCCGTACCAAGTGCTTTTGAAGCAATTCCAAGGCGCCACCGAGCTCTGGCGACACATCGTGCTCCATACGGTCGACGTCGCGAGGTTCAGTCCACCGAGGGCTATACGCGGCGGCGTTAGTTTATGCATCTTGTGAGTAGAAGCTCTGGGAAACGACGGACCTGTCTTTGTACTGCCCCAGCTGTGTGCGGATCGCAGCAATGGAGGCCTGCACGAGTGCATCTTCCAGTGACTGCACTCCACCTTGGAACCACGTTGACTCGTTTTGAAACATCGAGCCTTCTAGCGTGTATGCATCGTCCCCTTCGTCCGATCCAGTATCATCGGTGTCGACGGACGCAGGATCTGGTGAGGTCGTTGAAATGCTTGTCGGCCCGTGTAAGCTTCGAAATAGTGTCTAGAGGGTGCTGTCGTCAAAATAACGAACGATGCCAACCCAGCACAACCAACCGAGCCGACAGAGTACGCGGCCGAAAACGCTGCCGTGGGCAGAACCAGCGACCCTTGCCCCAACAGCGCATGCGTGACATTCTTGGCTTCTTGAGTTTGGAGCAACGGGTTCAGCACCGTTTTGGATAACCCGACAACTTTTTGCTTGAGCTTCAATGGCACAGACGACGGCTGATGGAGCGTGACCTTGGCAATGGGCAAAAGTTCCACAAAGACCTTGGTTTCGTCGAGTTCTTTCAGGAGCTGCTGCACAAACCATGCCGTGTTGATGGCGGCACCATACCCGCGCAACGCAGTCGGCACTTTGTTCTACTGCAACAATAACTGTTTGTTACGGCTCCATCCCAACACACCGTCAACGTCGCCCCAACGACAAGAGTTTGCGAGATTTGGTGCGTCCACCCATATCTCTCGACAGCCTACCAATCGGTCAGATCTATTCAGTAGGACGCAGTTCGAACCAAATGGCATTGGTACAACCACGGCTTGACCACTTGGGCAACGTAAGTGTATCGATGCGTCGGGTCAGTCAGAAATTGGAAGCTACAAATACACGAGAAGTTCACTTCCAGTCGCAAATACATTGTAGTACCGCCTTGTCAAGGCGTCCAAGGTGGCAGTGATGGCGTAGGCTGCATTGGTCACCTTGTCATCGTCCGAGACGTAAGTCCAAGCCACGTCCTCGCGAAGATACGTGAGCATGGCTGTCTGCGCGTACTCTAAGTCGATTTGCAGCCACAGATCCAAGGCACTCGGGTTGCTCGACACTTCGTCGAGCACATGGCGGTATTTTTGATTGAGCACCCGCGGCGGTCGGTAGTTGAACTCGTCCCGAAGAGTCTGCCACGATTCCCCCATGGCAGTCAGGATCGACACCATCCAATCGCGAACGTACCCATTCAAACTCGACCACTTCATCGATCGTGTGGCATAGCAGTGCCTTGTTCTACGGCGTCGAGGGAGTGACTTCAAGTTCCTGCCATGAAAAACCCACGAGCAACAAAATTGGCATCGTCTGCTTCAGTTTGGCGCGCACGGGCTGCAACAGTCCGTGGATGAACAACGCGAGGCCGTCAGGTTTGGTTGGTGACGGGTTTTGGGACGATGTCAGTCCCTCCGCGAGTGCTGGCCGCACGACCGCATGCAGGAATTCGGCATGTCCTCTACACGACTGCTCGATTAACACACCCTTCAAGGATTTTGATGCCGAGACGTACCGAAGCAGTTCAAGTACGTGCATCAAATACCATTCGGGTTTGGCTACGTCGTTTGTTTTGACGTCCGTGTTGAAATGGAAATGAAAGCGACGCACGAGCGGCTGGAGCAGCCGATGCATAACCCACAGCTCCGACATCTACCACCACGAGATTTCGATTGAGTGTGAATATCCCGCGACGAAGCTACCTCGGCCTCAACCCCTTCGGGAGATACTGACGCCAAAGCTAGTTGCACTTGAACCAGAGTAGTAAACTTGCGTCGAAATGCAGTCAACTGAGCTTCCTATTCCATCTTTGTAGCACCGATCCAAATGCACTTGCTCAACCTGGGACACAAAATCCGCCTCGACAAGATACTGCGGCCAGTTTAGGTCCTGTAGCGCGGCATCGAAGGCGTTCGTGTGAAAAATTTGAAATTCCACCGCCAGATACGCCATTCGCTGTTTGATCAGGGACTAGATGCGCAACCTCAACCATCATGACCGACCATGGACAGCGACGTACGCGAAGGTTGAGCTGTAGCGACGAGTCCAATCCAAAATGCGATGACAGAGACTGGTTGAGGGCTGCCAGAGCCACGAATGCATCAATATCTCCTACGACAACAGTTCAGAAACCGAGCGGCCAACATCATGCTGGACCATTTGAATTCGCCGAAGTCTTGGCTTGGGCACTGAGTGTTTCCACTTCCAAGAGCAACTCATAGTACTGAATTTTTGTTTGGAGGTGCTGCAATCGCGTTGTTTGGGGCTCGAGGATCGCGCACAACTCTCCCGAGTGGGCGTGGAGTTGCTCAAGCTTCATTTGTACAGTTTCTGCACTTAACTCCATAGACGTCATTTGCGTCTGTCTTTCCAATGCGCATTTGCGCTCGTTGTCGGCTAGTTGCGGAAGTGCCGATTCAATGGCATCTTGTTCTGCCTTCAGCGACTGAATGGCTTCTTTCGCCATGCGATATAGGTCACAAAGCTCACCCTTCTTGTACTCCTTAAGGTTCAGCAACATTTCTTCGCATGCGCGGAGCTGGGTCGTCATTATCTCGGCCACCGCCATTGCCTTTGGCCGCACGATCGTTGTGCTTTGGTGGCAATGCGACAGAAAATACCCATGTCAGCCAATCCGGTTCATTCAGTATCCTGTGATATATAATACTCACAAGATATTCATTCTTACAAGATGTCACATTCATCAACGAGCTTTGTGCCATTCAACATGTTCCTGCGCGCCGCATCTCGCATCAAACCTTCGCCGGCATTTCGATGCTTCTCGTCGATGGTGAGCTTGACGGTCAATGGAAATCCGTGCCAAGCGACAATTTCTAAATCCTTGGACAACAAGAAGGCCATTCTTTGCTTGCCTGGAGCGTTGGGTACGTCCGATGGATGTGACGAGAAATTGACCGCCACCTGCTGCAGGCACTGGCGCAACAGACTTTGCGGCGCAGTTGACAGGTCTTGCGGATGAATATTCTGTAATCGCTTTCCATCCGGACACTTCGCAGGTCCGGTCCCTCGACTTCCTTGAGAAAAACGCACATGATGCGGCGGCGTTCATGGCAGGCCTTGGCTACAACAAGGTACTCGTAGTTCGTTCAGCAATGCAGACGATTCAGAATGACCTTAGTATTCTGTCCTTGGTTGGAGCGACGGGGCCAACAGCAGCGTTATCCTGGCCGCTGAGTACCCTCAACACATGGAGCGATTGGTGCTGATGGGGGGAAACGTACGATTGCAGCGTCGATGATCCTTGTGTTGACCTGGCTGCGTCAGGCATTTGTGTCGGACGAAGATTTGGCTTTGTATGCTGGCGTGGCCGACGTGACCAAGTGGAGTGTAAAGCGCCGGGAAGAATTGAGTGCCATTCATGGGGGCGTTGAGGAACTTCAAACCAAGTGGACAGGTTGGTGGCGTCAACTTTCACTAAAATGCAAGCTTACTGGAATGCAGAATGGATTGCCACGATGCGGCGCATTCTCGAAGAAAAGCATGGCGACCTTTGCACGGCGTACTTGCCCGACGTCAAATGCAAAACTCTGGTGATGCACGGCGAAGAGGTAGGCTCGATATTTATATCGAATATATATATCCCGCACAGACAGTAAATTCCTCTAAACGGTAGGACGCGTTGGTACCGACGTTCCAAGCAGAGTACCTCAGCGAGCGCATCCTGCACTCGAAGTTGATCACGTTGCCGGGCGCTGGCCACACGTTCCACTTGAATGGGCGGTGGTCAACCCACGCAAACGAGGTCATTCGAACGTTCCTGAACGAACCAGACGACAGCGCGACGCACAGCCGCGAATTTTCCGCGATGCCGCCAAAAGATCGCAACAGCGGACCGGTTGTTACGCACTCGGGGCCGCGATGCTAATTCAGCCAGCTAGACAGACCATCCACATTCATGCTAATCAAGTGGACGTCGCCTTCTCACCTTGAACGTGTTTGAGTGTCTAGTTGTGCCGCAGACTATTCTTCATTACTCTGGCGAAAATCTCAATGGTTTTGGCACAAGCTACCAATGCCTGGCTCCGTTACGCGCCCGCCAATGTCGTTGCGTATGGTCCAGTGCGAGATAAAGTGGAGGCAAGAAATTGGTGGTTAAAACTTAAACGAAAACGGCGCCGACGACTCTGCCGCCGACTTGGTCCACGATGCGGCCGGTTTGAAGTCGGGGTTCGAGTTCGTGTCCCACTCAAAGGGGTGAAAATGGTGCGTGTTGTCAAAATCGAGGAGGTCGTCGTTGCTCAAAAACACAAGGCGTCGGGCATGTTCAGCTGTGTGGACGGCTGAGTGCTGTCGCATGCAGTCGGCACTACAGTACACCATCGTCTTGCACAGCACGCAGCGGCGCAGGAGGCTGCGGTGGCGGCTCTCGCACACAGCACACGCCACGACGGCCAGCGACGGTTGGTTCGCCTTGACCTTACGCTCCCATACAGTCAGTTCAAACGCCGTGTCGCCCCAGTTGGGCAGGGCCACGCGCGTCTTCAACGCAAACGCCTTCATCACGTCGCACTCGAATTGCCTGTCGCCCGTATCTCCATGCCATTCACCGACTGCTCAATAGTCAGCCCAACGGATCGCTCATGTTTGGTGGTAATATACCGTGGATGAGGAGTTTGCCCTTGTAGTGGCGCAGGCAATCGCGGGCGAACGACGTCTTGGACGGAGCACACAAGAACAATGCGCGTTGCTTCAGCGCTGGATTCGAGTCGAGAATATCTGCGTTTCCTTGATAGATCTGGAAGCACGTGTTAAGGTCAGGCGATTCACACATCGAATAGTACCGTGCTCCATCGAGGGACCCCTGTCTCCGTCAAGTTATCTTCGTCGTTGTTGTCATCGTCGTCCCCTCCGTCGCCACCGGTGGTGCCCGACCACTTGGCAGTCGCCACAGGGTCGAACGCCAACGCGTCGATCTTGTGCTGGGCCATAAGTGAGTGCCAGTAACCAAGGCCTGCGCCCATTTCGACAATAGGGCCCGCTTCCTTGATAGCTTTGAACGCGGCTGGGTGCGGAATAGCGCGGCTATACAACCTGTCGCACCACTTCCGGCAGTTTTCCCGCCACTGTTGCAGCTCTGCGTACGCTGGTAGCGCTGTTGTGTCGGATGCGGCCGACGGTCGGTCGGGCGTCTTGTTGAGGTTCATGCGCTGCTTCTTTGTGAGTTTTTTTGCAGATTCTTTGACTTTGCGACCCAAGTCCGACAGCACTTTGTCCATTTCGCCATTCATGCCCATACTTGGCTCGTAGAACAGCTGCACTCCTACAAATATAACACCATGAAACGGTGTGTGCGGACGAATTCAAGGCGCCGGACCTTCGCGCTGTCGAAGGAGCAAGATGTCGAGCAAGGAGATTCCGTGCTTAGGTTTAGCTTCATACGCAGAGTGGAAATCTGCCGGCACATCGTCACCGCCGTCCAAGAGAGTGGCGACAAACATCTCGTAATCCGAGCGGGCTGTCGGGCGGTACTTGTCGATTTGACACAAATACTCGTGAAACGGCGGGACTGCCGCGCTGTTGCGGCCAAATACGCTGATGGCAGCTTGATGCAGCGTGAAGTACATCTGGTCAAAGTAGCACGCCAGTTTGATTCGCATTTGCGTTCGCCCGGACGAAGCAACGGCCTGCGTGGCAGATAGGATGTGCAACTGCAGGTCTGCGCTGAGCTTGGTCATGATTGGGCGATCGGTATCTGGCGTGTCCTGCTTCTGTTGCTGTGCACGAAGCAACTGACGCTTGAGGTGCTGTTGAACCGACGTCTGCAGCAACTCGAGTGATGCCTGAGTCCACGCGTTCGAACCCACGACCGTGGACGCGAGGCGCCCGAGCACCACGAGCGAGTACATCATGCCCAAAAGCACCTGGCCATGGATAGCCTTGGACTCGTCATCCGACTCGATTGCAAACACAATCGAGTGCAAGAACTTGCCATGGTTGCACTTGAAACAGTCGTCGCCATCGCTCTTCTTGTCGGCGATATAGTGATGGCAATTGCAGCCAGGGGATTTACATGGCCCAATGGTACATTGCTTGGGGAGCAGTGTTTGGAGAGCTTTAGCGTCCAATGATGATGTTGACACTGAGGGTGTTGCTGGCACGGTCGACATCGTTCGTTTTTTGTGCTTTGATGCCTTTTGTCGTGCTTGGATGCTCTTGGCCACGTCGTCGTCCATTTCAAGGCCATATTCCATGGCCACAGCCGCGATCTCGTCCTCAATGAACGCGATTTCAGCCGCGCCAAGACCCACTTGGGTCTTCTTGCGCTTCTTCGACCTGTTCGGTGGATGCGCCGCCATGACACTCGACCAAAATGGTTGAAGCCACCGCCGCTGTGTCGGCCTGACATTGTTGGTTCCAGCGAAATCGCACTTACTCGATTAAGTACCGTGGCGTATGCCACGCAGTTATACTGAGCTACAGTATTGTCCCTGCACCAAAACGAGTGGCAACGAGAGCAGCACCTTTCAACGAGCGAGAGGTGGGTGGTCAACCATAAATGAAGTCCAAGGCGGACAGCACTTCGAAGAAGCCGCTGTCTAGGAGTTGAGTAAGTCATGGTTCGTTGTTGAGACTCCGTGTTGGATGCCATCCGTTGCCCGTTGTGCCGTATTCGATCTCACAGGCTATTGCATTTAGGAGTCTATAAAATTGGACATACGATCCATGTGTTTTTCGATGGAAAATTGTTGCTTGCAGTTTGATCGACACAAAACACATGAGCTTCGAACGGTACAGTAGCTCATGCTACCGTTCGAAGAGCCTTCTTTGGTTCAGATTCGTTACTGTTGAACGCTGAAATCTTCGATTGCCCAACGGCAATGCCATCTTGGTCTACGTTGATTGTTAACGCACGCAAAGTGGTGAGTCCAACAATGGGGTTCGAGGCATCCAACACCGATTCCCCAGAGGTTTCATTGAATGCCCCCATCTGGAACCACGTGTACATCAGACTAAGTGCGGACAATCCATTCTATGTCCATTGTGTTGACTACAAAAGTCAAATATTTCAAGCACATTTATACATGTGAAACATATTTGTACACGCATTTAGCTTCGTATTTATGAATTCAAATGTGCTGCCTAGCTCAATATATGCATTAATGCGCCTTACTCGGTGAAGTACATAAGTTGGATTGGAACAAATGCAAATAAGATATGGTCTTATTTCGCACTTAGTGGAGCATTCGGCCTGCTGACCATGTGTAACAGCCGTTGTAATGTACCGGAGAAAATATAAAAATACAGGAAATATCAATGGCACAATGGGCTATTTTTTTCCAGGACCGCCAACTCCGACAAGCACACGACGAAAATTTCGTCTGACCAAGAAATTGTCGAATATTTGGCAAAACTACGGAGAAGATTTGTCAAAATACGCTGAAGATGGTCGTTCGTTCACCCATTGTACAATACAAAGATCAAGTACAATCGATCTACGATACAAACTTGCCAACTTGGATATCTGAATTTTTCAGGAAAAGCTTAAAATTCTCTGGAAGCCAGCCCGCCCCGGTCTTCTTCGTTACTGCAAAACCTGCCACTTCATTGGAAGGAGATGTGGGCACCATGCCCGCAGCGGGAGCTCACAGCCACCGCCGCGTCCAATCAAGTTATCGAAGTTGCCTCGCTTTTCGATGCTCGCATGACATCCGTATCGTCATCCAAACGCGAAGCGACTTCGTCCAGATGCACCATCCCTCCTCGATGGTACAAACTTACTCGGTTCCTCATTGGAGTCGCGATTGCAGCGGTCGCCACCTTGGCCGGGTGCAAGATCTATTACATGCTTGCCCCGTTCCCTCGTGAAGTCGTGTACGATCCATCGCTGAACAACGTGACGTTGCCTGTGGATCGGGTGTCGTCATTGTGGCGCCTCGACGAGTTTCAGTGCCTCGGGTGGCGTGCCGTCGAAGGATGCGACCCCACCGGTGCGAGGAAACCTTGGAACGACCGAAACTGCAACCAACCCATCAAGCGCGGGATGGCGGGTTTCTGCGAAGTCCGCAACCGCACGAGCGGCGAAGTACTGAGAGTTATGGCGACGACATGCCGAGGCATTGACCAACACCATGAGTTCACGTGCAACATGGCGACCGAGTTTACAGATTTCTCTATCAAAGCCGTCAAGTACAAGCACAATGAGCCTCTCGTCGTATCTCCTTTGACGGACATGCCAACTCGAGGCATTGCCATGTCTATCTATACCCCCGTGATTGCCAGTGCGTATGCCGTTGTTCGGTCTCTGCGGTCCATGAAATGTGCGCTGCCTATCGAACTGTTCTACCACCCGGGTGAAATCGACTTGAACAACTCCGTCGTTGCCGAGCTCACGGGAAGGTACAACTGCATCCTTCGACCGATCCTGAACAAGGCTGCCAAGAAGTACAAGTCCAAGCCGTACGCCATCTACCACAGTTCGTTCGACCAAGTACTGTTCCTCGACTCGGATAACTTTCCCACGCGGGATCCAACTTACCTATTTGACCTGCCTGAGTTTCAAGACACTGGAACGTTATTTTGGCCCGACTTTTGGCAGCCGGAGTACTCGATCTTCAACTTGAACCCGCAGAGCCTGCTCTGGCAGCTCCTTGACATGGCACCGATCAACGAGTTCGAGCAAGAAAGCGGGCAACTGTTGGTCGATCGCCGCCGTACTGCGTCTGCATTGGAGAAACTCATGTTCTACACAATGGAAGGGCGTATGCTGGAGAAGCTCGAACTTGTGTGGGGCGACAAGGACTTGTTCCGCCTGGCTTGGCGCAACACGAGCACCCCGGTCCACTTCATCAGTACGCCACCTGGACTAGGCGGGCGCTACGACCCAATTGAAGACCGGTTCTGCGGTATTGCCATGATGCAGTTTGATCCACGCGGCGACCTCGTTTTTATCCACCGCAACACGTACAAGATGACGGGCCGTCAGGAACAAGTGCCGCTCCTCACCCATATGCAAGTGTTCAACTCGAATGGCACGACCACTGCTGACTACGCCGTCCACCACACTGGTGCCGGTGTCGGTCTCGGTATCTGCTGGGCCCTCAAAGACAACGTGCCTAACTCGATTGTCGCGATGAAGGACACGTCCGCCGCCAACGTCGAAGTCCATGCGCTTCACTACGCCATGGAGGCAGGCATCACGATGGGCATCGAGCCAGAAGTCGTTCACCACATCAACGCTGGGGCATGGTGGCAAACGCCGCTGGACTGCCTCGTCTTCCTCATGCTGTGGGGTGGCGTCGCGGCCATCTTACTGACAGCGCTCCATTGGATCTCGTTCCGATCTGTCTTTGGGGACAAGAAGCTGCACTGGTTCGACCGGTACGCCGGCAAGAAGCGCAAGCTATCGGAGTACCCTATTGTGTAAACTACCTCGACCGAGACCCTCGCGTCCGTCGATCCTATTTAATTCATGACATCCACTTTACCACGTCCTGCGCGGCCACGTCTTTCTCTTCTCTCATTGGCTGAAAGACCAAACATTTTTCAAATGACGAGCATTGATTGGCTGATGAAATCAAGTGGACATCTGACGACTGTGAAGGATCAAAATGCATGTGCATTCACGTGGGTTCTAACTCTATTTGGGCGCCGGCAGGTCGCGGCGCAAGTAAAATAAGACGTACGCATGGGACGTGATCGCAGCCTCGGGGGTCGTATCACTTGTGCAGCTGTCGTTGAAGCTATACCACTTGTTGTTGCGGGGATTCATTGCTTTGGCCGTGTAGTGGCCGCCGCCAAGGCCTCCCATGTGCTCGGATACGGCGTACAAGTCGTACACCGTCGACGTGTTGGGCGGGATGTCCCCCACGACAAAGTCGGCCATATCGAGGTCGGTGATGGGGAACGTCACGAGCGTATTGATCTTGTCGCGTTGCATCGAATACGACCCTTGGGCATACCGAAATCGTTTCAAATGGAGAAGCAAGATGTTGGGCAGCGAAAACAAGTCAAACTTCTTGAAAGCGCGGACGTGGGTCTTGCATTTGGGGCAATACCACGTGTCGTTCTCGCCGAGTTGCTCCTTTTCTGTAAACTTAGCGATGCACGTGCGTAGGTCCAGCGCCGCCGCCGGCTTCCCTCCGTGCGAAATGGCCGTGTCTGCCGATGCATGCAGCCGAGGCGATTCGCTTCCTTTCCGCCCTACTTTGTACCTACTCGTTCGATTCAGTTGACAATTCCATCGAAAATGTCAACAAAGTACCCATGCGGCGTCCACTCAAGCGTAAACGTAAAACTTCCACGCGTGACATCGCACGGCAAGGGGTCCGCCGAGTCCTCGGGTATGTCCTTTTGTAGAAAAGCATCCGCCCGGGCGTTCGAAATGTGTAACTTGTACGGGGTTTCTTCCAGGTCAGGGTCAACGAGGTGTTCGGTGAGCTGTCGAATTTTATCGTGAATCTCGGCGCTTGACGCGTCCCTCGTGATTGTTACGATGGAAGGAGTGCCAAAGAGTCGCCGTTCCACTCTCCTGTGCTTGGTGCTGTGGTTCGTGTGGTACCGGTAGCTGCTACTGGTATGGTAGTCCGAGTCGTCTTCTAGTGGACTGCTCATCTCGGTCACTTCTGAAGGCACTTGGTGCTGCAGTGCCACAAGGCACAGCGCCACTTCGCCCGGCGACGACTGATTCAAATCTAATGTCGACGTCGAACTCACCGAATACAACGTCGGCGATCGAACTTCGTACTGACTCCACGGGTACTCGAGTTCAAATGCCGCAACTGTCGCATCGCGGTGGGCATGGACCAAGTCGCTAATGTCCATCGTGTCAGAGTACGCACGAACGATGCGGTTGTTCTTGATTTGGACAAGGAGCAACCGGTCGGTGGGAATGCCACAGAGGGTGGTCAGAGTTGCCTTGACATCCGCATACACGCCTTCTTTCGGCACGTGCAAACCGTACTGCATAGGACGTGCGCCAATACCATGCAGCGTCAAGAGGACCCACGCCTAGTCACTCCGCCATGTCAAGGCTCCAGTACATACATCTGCCCGCATAACGCAGCGAGCGAAACGAGGAAAAACTCTATCCCACCTGGTTTGGCACGGGAACGGACAGCGTCATATATGGGTCAAAGGTAATGGATTCGTTCTGACAGGACGGGCACGTGACGTGGCTTCGCAATTGTGCCATGCAGTGGTCGACAATGATGCTGTCATTGCGCTTGAGATAGTTGGCCCATTCCTCCTTTGCGACGTCGGCGTCTGGTCGTCCAGCGTGCTCAATTGGATTCGTGTACGGCTTGTCGAGCACTCGATTGAGATCTTCATGGATGCCATCGAGGATAAAGCTCAGCACTTCCTGGCTGTCCTGCTGGGAATACCCGGCAAACGCCGGCGCGTACTCCCCAATGACGTACTTGAGCTCGGTCGGCGTCACGACCTTGGAGTCGCCCGACCACATCTTTTCCATGAGCATCGCGTACGCTTTGGCAATTTTACCGCCCATCCCGAGTGGATTGCTGCGATTGATTTCTCGCTTGTACATGAGTTCACCTCCTTCGTCTACTTGGCAAAAATATTCCAAGAGTGGCTTCGTGTTGCTTAGGCACTGCAGCACGCTGTTCATGAAGCATGTGTTGCCGAGATTTTGGAGCCCCACGACTCCCGGAAACTCGGCTTTCTCGGAGTACTTCGACGTGTACGCGCTGTACCCCCCAGACGGTGTCGACCAGTTGGTGTTGCGGGTAGCAGTGTACGTGCCAGACGAGTACGAGTAAGAGGACTTGACTTCGGACTTAACAACATCGGTGCTTGTCGCGGTCGATTGCGGCATCTGCGCAGGTTGCTTCTTGCTTCGTATGTGCACATTTGGAAGACACAGCAGTTGATTGGATGCTTCCACGACCTTCGTGTGGGGAAGGCCTCCGCTCATGTACTGCACCTTCACCCGGATGACTTTGCCCTTGTAGAGCGCTTTAGGCGGCATCGGCGGCCACGCTTCGTCGTCCGTGTCGTGGTCGTCATCCATCGACTGCACGTCAACGACCGTCCCTTCCACCCACGACGCCTTCATGCCTGGAGTCGACCCCGTGCCAAATTCGACGGCATCCCCTTTCGACAGCGTCGTGCGCCACTCTCCAACTTGCGAGTGCAATGGCTGGAGCTCGGGTGCGTTCCGGGCAAACCACACGTCCCATTTTTCGCCCCAGCTCAAGTAGTGGACTTTCACCCTGTCTTTGTCGAGGTCGATGTCGACAACCTGGCTTTCGTACCTACGATACAGATTGAATCTCCAGTCTCGTCAAGAGAATAATGGAGAATACCAGTGGTTGGACGTGTCCTTGGCATCGAGGTAGTCGCCGAATTGAAGCATTCTCCGCCACCCCAGCGCTTCCACCTCGCTCATGTAGAACAGACTGTTGCGGGGGTCTTTCGCGTCGCTTGGGTTCAAAAATTGGCATTCTATCAACAAGACGCACGAATCCGCTTCGCCTATCAAGTTGAGGTCCCCAACAGTTCGTTGCGTCGCTACGTCATCGTCGTCCGATAGGGGGGATATGGGGGACTCGTCCAATGCCTCCCACACGTCTCCACCTCGACGTGACTTTATGCAGACACGGATATGCTGCGCCCAGTTGTCTTCGTTCACGGCTTTGTACCCCACAACGTCGATGGGTTTGGCATACTCGGGGAAAAGGTCATGGTATCGAGAAGAGATGCGGCTCCACAGCAATCTCTTGATGGACGACACGTTCAACGTAGTTCCCACGAGAATGTTCAAATTCACCCCTTTCTTCATTTGAATCGGCGCCGACTTTGCCATCCCGTTGGCCCAGTAGTGGACCTATGACACAGCATCATCAACCTCACGAAACAACCTACGTGAGTTCTACCTCGACAAGCAACGGATACAACTCGACGACGTGTTGTGCACGGGAGCCACTTCCTCGTGTGATCACATGTCGGGGGATTTCGACTGCAGGGCGACGGCTGTCGGCCTTCCATTTCTCCCATTCGAGCATGTCCAGGAGGCGGAAGTCTCGGCCTTCTACCAAGCCGTGCCGAAGTCCAACGCCACTTGGGCCAAGGAGGCTAGCTCCAGCGTCATTTGCATCCCCCTCCTCATCTTTCTCATTGCACGGAACCACGTAGAACGTTTGCCCAACTTCCATTCCCAGGTCTGAATGGAACCCCGCTCTTTTCTATCCCCAAGCATGGATATCCGGATATCCCTTGAAAATATGCAAGTTCACATGTTTTATCCGAATTTCCAAGGCTTTCATGCCGTCGGTCGTGCAAGTTGGAGGGGCAGCCGCTGCGCGGTGGCCGGAACTTACATGGGACGCCGTCGACGCTGACGTGAACCTACTCACAAGCAACATAAACATAAGGGTAGCTCCACCTGTTTCTAGCCAGGAGGAGTACACTGACCCTTCGTCCGAGAAATTGGAGCTGATCGCACGAAACATTTTTCACGTTCATCAGACCCTCGGTGAAGCCATCACGCGCGTGCACAGTGAAGCAGGTCTCATCCGTGTGATACAGTGCTTCTTGGCCCAACAGGTATGCTTGGTTCGTGGTACATGCCATATCTTACATTCCAGGAGGGCATTGACACAGACCAGTTCGACAAGGCCGACCAGTGGCTTCGAGCGAACGCGTCGGAATGGAGCTTTCATAGTGGTGACGATGGGACGGAAGGTCTACTTTTGTGCATTCGGGACGACATCCACAGTGCAACCTCCAAGACCGAATTCCTCCAACACTTTGAAGCCGCACTGCAACCGTCGGTCTCGTTTCCAGTGCACAATCGCATTCCGAGAGAGCCGTCATCGTCGACAGTGCTCGGAAACATCCCTCTCGTGCGGATTCGATCAACTTGAATTCTTCAATCTTCTGACTCACATCTATCCAAGGTGTCCGACGCGGAAGCGTTTCAAGATGCCAAGGACATCAAGCGTGACCAAGTGACTATCAACGGCATCCTCTTGCCAGGTGTTGTCGGCTACGACACGCTGGTTCGCGCACTCACAGACGAAATTCAACGTGTCGCTGTCGCATTTCGACCGTCGTACGCAGGCTTTGCGTCTACGTACGAAGAGATGGCGAAGCGTATTCTTCATGTACTGGCCATCGATCGCTACCTCCAACCTCGTACAACCTCATTTCCGTAGTCCATTAATCGAACCGAATCTGGCGGCGGGTCGTACGAAGTACTGAGTTCTCTCGTTTCACCAGCATCGACGCCGTCGCTAGTGCTCATTCGGCCCAATTCGAAAGCGGCCACACCTTTGCGCGTCCACATCGACATGGGCCCATACGAAGACCGCGATGGCGGAAGCGGGTGGCTCTTTGGACTGCGCACGGTCGTGACAGCGGAAACGTCGTACGTGCTGTGCGACGCAGACGACCCGACGACCGAGTGGGTCACGGTCCAAGCCAAGTACGTGAACCGCCTCGCGTTTAGCTTTGGCATGAGTCCGTTCACGTCCGAGTCTCGCGGGGCCCGCGAGGATGGAGGTCATGTGCAGCTAATGCGACACTGACCTCACGCGACACGTTCTACTCTTCTTAAAGTTAAAATTTCCCATACACCAATGTATCGAGGCGCTGAACATGCACGGCCAGGTCTTTGTTGCGGTGGTGAAGCCGTAACTGCTCGTTCGTGAGGAGACGGATTTCGTCGCGAGCGATTTGGAGATCATCTCGGACCTGCGTCATTTCGCTCTGTTTCCGTCTTGCGACAGCTTTCCACTCTTCTCGCTCGGTTGTGACGTCGCGTAGTTGAGTGAGAAGCTCTAGACACACGTCGTCGTGATACGTATCGCCGCCAACCGAGAAAAGTACCTTGGCGTTCCATCTCCATGAGCCGCATCGAGTCTTGCATGTTAGCTAGTTCCTGGCGCAATTGGGTTTCTCGTTCCAAGCACAGTTTGTTCTCCAACTCGAGCTGCTTCAGCACGCTTTCTACACGGACGAGAATACCGAGCTGCTCCTCGGCTTCGTGCTCTGAGGCAGTCAGCTGAGATACTGCTGGTGGTGTGGAATGTCTTGAAGGGATCGTGACTGGGTTGGGTTCATTCGAGACGGGGGTTGGAGACAAAGTCGATGCTGAAGGTGGCCGGAGTGCCAGAACAGGAGGACAATGCTCTTTCGCACGTAGATGGGTAGATATTTCCTCTGACGCGAGGTCAGGGCGACCTGTGGGGGGTTGAAAGGTGCCACTCGATATCTTGAAGTTGTCGGTCGAGACGGCATTGCTACTTTGGCAATTGATGGCGCTTTGGGCGGATGATAGCAAGGCATGAGGCGTGTTGATTTGCTGAGATTCAAGGGGAGGTAGTTTTTGCTGCAAAGGTGGTTGCTCCTGCTGAGTTGTGGGAGGTACACTACACGATGTCGTTGTCGAATTGACCTGAACGGCCTCGGCAATTGCCTCCTTCAACGTACGCACCCAGAGCGCACAGTGCTGTGTCGTTGGAGCCATGAACTCGGTTGAAATGTGTCCATTGGGAGTTGCATGTGTGATTTCAAAGCGAGATGCTGCTTTGGGATGCACGGACAGGATGTTGGCTAACAGCACACGCAGCGATGCCGTCTCTGTGTCAGGCGAAAACTTCTCACAGAGGAAGAAGCCGTCGCCAACATGACATCGGTACTTGACCCATTCGAACAAGTTTGTCCTTGGGTTTTTCACCTTTCGCTTGAGCACCCGCTTCGCCGACGCTTCGTCCGCGTCGCCGCCATGGTGCTCCATGGCACTGTACTGAATCGATCGAACAAACCACAATCTTTATCTGGAACTATCCGGTTGCGACAGCTCACCAAGCACGTTCTGTAACCGATCATGAAACCGTTCAAACTCGTTAAGTTAAACCAGCACGACGGCGTCCAGTGCGCTCGGGGCAGCTATGACTTCATGGTGGTGCGTGGAGTGGCTCGGATGCACAGCATCCCCCTCGGTAGTGACGGCGTCTTCAATTGCAATGTCGCGGCGAACGTTAGCAGCCAAAGTTCTCTGTTCGTCCTCACCGTCATCGGTGACGCTGTTGGGTGTAGATTCGCTGGAGGGAATCGAGTGTACATCTCTACAGAGGATGCCAACCACACGTCAAAAGGTGACTCTCTGACGCAGGCATGGTACCAGCATATACGTACACATCGTCGTAGGTCGGGGGCACCGCATTCGTGAGCCACGGCATGAGATAGGTTGCGTCCCATTTTAACAGGACATGGCGGCTGATCGAGGAATGAACCGCGTCCGCGCTGTCACTTGCATCATCTTTCTACAATTAGATGCGCATCTCAGGTAGATGAATGGGTTTGGATTGAGTACATGGACAAGACGCTGGATGTTGAGCACGTCGAGGGCCTTCACCGTGAGCCCTCCCATGACGAGGACGGTGACCACGACGACAACCATCGTGGCCGCTCGAACTTCCTGCAGGTCAAAATAGCAACAATTTAGCTCATCCACTTAAAAAAGACGCGCTCGAGCATGTACCTCTCGAAATGGAGCAGGGAACGAGAGCGCCAGTGAGAACGCGATCGCGCCACGAAGGCCGCTGAACCAAATCATGTGCTGTTCGTTTCGGTCCAGGCGATTCTGCGTGTCGCCTCGGCGCATGCATACATTGCGCAACGACGACAGTGGGTACACGTGCATTGCGCGGGCGACAAGACACGCTAGCAGCGACCACAGCATAAACGGAATGCTTAACCCGCGCTCCATTGCAAAGAAGGACAGCCCCAAGTCTACACGAGCGTGTAAGTTTTTCAGATGGTCATGGCAACGTACTGAGAAACACGACGAGTTCGCACATGAACGCGACAATGTGAAACAAGTTGGACGCGCTGTTGGATATGCACGAATTAGTGATCGATACCGAGCACGTGGCGTGGATGGAACAAGCCGCCTTACATGTCCTTGGCCGCGGACGAAAGGTTGTTGAAAGTGTAATGCCGCATGAACATGCCTGCAAACAGGATCGCAACGATGCCAGACAGCTCGAGGACCTCGGCAACGAGGAACGGGATGTACGCGACAAGGACAAACAGGCTCACTTCGTGCATAACCGCCAGGCCCTTGACGTGCTTGAGTGCAATGGACGATAGGCAGCCGAAAGTGACGCCGACCAAGATCGACCCCACACAAACTCCGATGAAGTCGAGCACCGCGTACGACACTGCGTGTGCGTGCACCTCCGTCACGCCAATGAACTTGACAAACGTGTTGAAAAGAACGATCGAGATGGCGTCGTTGAGTACGCTCTCGCCAAAGACAATGTAAAACAACTTCGGGTCCTGTATGCCTCGTGAGTACTATTTTTGCGGGGAACCGAATCGGCGGACGAACCACATGGAGCTCTTGGAACACGGCCAGCGTTGTGACGGGGTCTGTCGAGCTGATGAGCGCGCCAAATGCCAAGCACTCGGCAAGTGGCATTTGCAAACTCAGTCCGATGGTCCCCAGCAGATAGAGAAATCCACCGACCACGACGGCCGAGATGAAGGTTCCCAATATGGCAAACATGAGAATACTCGTCAAGTTGTCGAAGAAATGCCGCCGCTTCATCGTATACCCTATATGCCCACACGTGATGAACATGCTCATAAACTCGTCCTTACCAGAGTTAAATATGATGGGAGGCAGTAGCCCCACGAAGAACACGTTCGGATCAAATCCGACGAGCTACGAAAGTGAAGAAGGTGGGTGAGCATTGACATGGACGAGTGCAATAGCCTACCCAACGGGCTACAATGTCCGACTGGTCAAATGAGCACAGTGCACCGGCAATGAGTCCAACAATAATAATTGCTACGCATCCACGACATGGATAAGGCATCCAGTGAGAGAGTACGTACCGCCACTGCTGGAGATAAAGTGGAGTTGGAGTCTTTGCTCAAGAACGTGGCTGACCCCGATGGAAGTCAGGACCAGGAGCATGAACAGCAGCACGTAAATAGACACGTTGTACTCTTTGTACATGCCAAATGCCATTTCGTTGGCAGTCGCATTCGTTGTAGTTGCATTCGTTGTCGTCGTGCCCGACATCCCTGCCGTCGCCGTCCCAGTTGTTCGATTTCGTGTGTTCAACACAATTACGCGTCAACGACATACATTCGGCTTCGGTGGCTGATCGAAAAAGCAAGACACACGTTCTTCTTTATATCTTCCTTTTTGTATGTCCAATACCCTACATTCTGAAAAACGACACACGTTCTCCCTTCTATCTTTCTTTTTGTATGGACACATACATGCATTCTACCTCACTCTAGAAAAATCCGTCGTGTCACATGCATTCTCTGTTGTTATCCGAGGAACACGCGCAGGAATGAACAAAAGTATGCAGGAGCTTATATTGTGACGAAGGATGCAACCGGTGCTTGCACTCTCGGGCGGATAACTTAGACGCCAGTGCCGGCCGCGACCTGGCCCGTGGCATGCAACATGTTGATCTCGAAGTACATTTGCCAGTACTGGACAAAGACGACGATCCCGACGAGCAGGAGCGACCCAAACACGTTTGCCGTGAACGTCGCGCTCGTGTGATCCCACCCGGCGTACGTCGAGATGCTCATCTTGACCATCGGGTACAAGTTGCTCATGATCCAGAACCCAAAAAACATGGCCGACACGTAGTTCCACGGACTCGTTGCGTTTTCGTACTGGAAGAACCGAATCAAGGCGATGAATTCCGACACGATCAACGTAAAGTACATGAGAACGTTGGGGATTTCCGTCCACGACGTCTTTTGCCCGGCACCCGTGTTCGCCCACGCGGAAATGACACCCGTCAAGCGCCAGCGTACTGCTTCGCCAATAGCCAACGCCGTGATGAACGAGTACGAAAACCACGTCTGCTGAGCGCGCCACACGTCGTTTGAGTCGACACTGCGGTTCGCGAGCAAGTTGAGCATCCATCGGGACAACATGAGCGGCAAAAACGTGTACAAGAGCAAGTTGCCTTGGGTGTAGATCGGCGCGTCCCCAGTGTTCAAGTAGTAAATGGCAATGAAGACGTAGCACAGCGCAGGAATCGACCCAAACGGGTACAAGACCGAGTCGTAGAAGAACAACTTGCGAGGAAAGTCGAGCGACGGTTTCGGGTCCGGCGCTGCCACGCGCGGCGGGCGCCAGTCCGGATCGACTTCGGATTCCCCTTTCATGAGCAAAATTTGCACAGCACCCATCGCCCAACGCTTGCGTTGGCCCAACGAAGCCGCAACGGTCTCAGGAATGGCACCTTCACACAAACGGATGCGGTCCTTGGCGTCGCCTTCAAAGTCCTTGCGAAAGTAGACCGAGTCCCACCCGGCAGTGTGCAGGATGTTGCCAGTGTACGCATCTTCGGTTTGGGTCCCGTACTGGATGCCGCCAATCGAGTCAAATGCTTGCCGACGAAAGACCGCGTTGGTCCCGGCAAAAGCTGCCGAATCAAACCCATCACGACCGCACTGCACAGCGTCGAAAAAGATCGTGTTCTTGTGTCCGCACGGATCGCCCATTTCCGTCAGTTGCGGCGTGTCCTCAAAGTACTGCGGCGTTTGCACATACGCCACTTGGTTCCACGAAATGTCGTCCGAGTACTGGCGTCCGCCGCCGTCAACCGCTTCGCCTTCCGAGAAGAAGAACGGCAGCACCGCCAAGAGAAACTTGGGGTGGGGCTTCATGTCGTTATCGAGAATCAAAATGTACTTGCCGTCCGCGCCTTCGTTGAACAGAATGTTGTTGATGTTACCGGCCTTGGCATGGTGTGTCTCCGGTTTCATGCGACCAACAAACGTCACACGCGGCAGGCCACGGTCGCGGTAATCGTAGTCGTCGCTCAGCGATCCGACAGCGCAATCGCGGCGCTGAATGCCCTTGTCACCGGAGCCTTTGATCTCTCGCACGCTCGAGTGCTGGCGACGCCACGCCTTGAGTGCGTTGTCGTCCGGGACAGGCCCCACGACGCGTTCGTGCATCAACCGCGCGACATCCCCGCGCAAGTCGCCGCAGAACTGGATGTTCTTCGTGTTCACAGTCACTTTGAAGTGGTTGTTGGCATCCCAAACCGACTTGGTGTACCCGTCATCGCAGAGCCAGATGCGGAGGAGTTCGGGCGGGTATTGCATCGCCAAGCAGTTCTTGAGCGTCTTCATCGTGTCAACGACGGGCTCTGAATAATGGCAGAGGAAGATGTCGACATTCGGCCACTGTTCCTTGGGAAGCGGAGGCTTGAAGTCGTTGAGGTACCGCGCGCCGCGGCGAACGGGGCGCCACATGGAGAAGTTGAAGAGGAGACCGAGGAAAAAGTTGAGGTACTCGGACCCGACAAAAATGATGTAGCAAAACCAAACGCCGGCGGGGGTCGGCTTGATGCAGTACGGTTCGTTCGTCGCCAAGTCGACGTTCTTTTCTTCCGTGCTTGGGTAGCATCCATTCATTTGCTTGATGCTGTCCTCAATGAGAGAGCACCCCAGATGCGGCTGCGTGCGATTGCACGGCGACTCGCGCGGGTAAAACGTGATCAAAAACACAAGCCACACGACGCCCGTGATCGCAGACAAAAAGTACACAATGTGGAAAAACCCGCCACCGGACATCTTGTACTTGCGAATGTTGGGCGTCTGTACCGGCTCGGCCGCTCGCCCTGCAATCGAAAACGTGCTCATGGCAAACGACCGGAACGACGACTCGTACGGGCTCTTGCCGCCCGCGGCACCGCCTTCCCCTTGGTCCATGAATCGAATCGATCGCGCTTCCGCGGTCTTCTCGGTCATTTTCTTGGGGTCGACAAACGACGTGGACGCCATAAATGCGCGGTTCGGGACTTGTTGCCACCGCTCGGGGGTCTTGCCGTCCGCGCCGACGGCCACGGATGGATGCTGAGAAGTCGAAATGGACACATTTGGGTCGCCTTGGGCATCGGTCGCGATTGATTCGCCGCACTCGGTGCAGAACGCCGTGGCGGGGGGGACGGTCGCAAAGCAGTTTTCGCACACAATGCGGTTGTTGGCGACCATGGCCGATGCGGCCGCGCCGACCGGCAATTCCGGCAGTTCTTCTTGCAACACGCCGTTGAGCGGGAGATGGCCGCCGACTTTGTTGTAGCAGAAGAGGCCCCACCGCATGGCGAGTTGGTTGATCATGCCGACCAGGGACACGCCGCCCCAAATGACAAACATGAGAAGCTTGTTGTCGCCGCTCAGGTCAGGCAAGTCAGGTTTTTGGGACACTCCGATGCTGCCAAAGAGGAGTGTTGAGAGCGGGACGTGGGTGGGGAACGCCAAGCGGGAAACAGCGTCCGAAAACAACCAACCGCCCAGGATGGCGCTCATGACAAGGTACTTAAAACGGTGGGTCTCCAGGTCCACCGACTTGGAGCTCGACACGAACAGGAGGAAGAAAATAATCACAAACGCGACTAGAAACTCCTGCTTGGCAAAGCTGGGCTGGCCTAGAAACACCTTGCCGGTGTACCGATCCAAAACGAGGAGCCACGGGGCAAGGATGGCACCCGAGAGCGAGATGAGCACGAACGGGCCCAACGACGTGGCGAACACGATGAGCAGCGCAAGGCCACCCCCGACACCAGCGGCAATGCCAATGCGTAAGACTTCCGCGACAGATGCCAGGTTGTCCATGATCATGTAGCTCGCAATGAACCCCCTACACACCACAACCATCAGATTCGGTTGCCACGGCAAGCTTTTTCACGTACATGGCAAAGCATGCGAGTAATTGCACGGACACAAAGAGCGATTTCGCGCCAAGAGACGTGCTGGACCACCCCCCGAGGGCGAGCGCAAAACCGCCGCTGACACCAACAGCGCCAGCAACTGCTGCACCCAACGTCACCATTGTGCTTGACGAGTCAAGGGCTGCGTTGGAGGCGCAAGAAGAGGCGGCGTCTGGTGGTGCACGTGAGGAAAACCAAACTGACGCACACGACCAACCTTTCGAAATTGGTGGAAGCTCACGGGGCATGTAACTCCCCCGGTGGACGAATACTCAAACCAAGTGAAATGGCGGGGAGGGGTTTCGTCCAAAATGTTCGATTCCACCACCCGCCGCTTCTTCGAATCTTGGCGCTCCCCGTCGAAGGATTGCCCCGTCGGGAGGGGCTGCGACGTCCGATGAGAACGCGACCGGAATCACAGCGCCAGCCCCGTAACGGCTCCACCATGGGGATGGCGGCGACTACTGCAAGACGGAGATATTTAGCAGTCCGCCGACGCTGCTAGTCGGTCAATCGATTCACTTGATACACACGACAGACCGTTGCAGAGATCACGTGCTCGTGGCGCCGAATGCCACCATGTCTACTGCGTCAATCCGATCCACACGTTTGCATTGAAAGGCGAGGAGGGCCAAAGGCGGGGAATGGCTTGGCTGGGTCAACAGAGCTCCTGGTGGTTCGTGACACCTGGGCTTGTGTGCGATGGCTATACGAACCATCGCCGGGTGCGTCGCTCCTGAACGTGAGGAACACCATGAGGCGGCTTTGCCCCGTCTGCGGGTGTTTCACGTTTTCGCCAATTGCATGACGTGGTGAGAACTGGCCAATCAAACGCAGCGCCGTTACAAAAAGAGAGTCGCACGCTGCGCCATCGCCGCCAGGGTGATGGAGGACGACCTGCAAAGGTTCATCCACAGCGTCGAGAGCAGCGCAAAGAAGATCCTCAAGGTGCACACGAAGCGTGTACAAGACGAAGCTGCCCGGTAATTGAATGCGATGTACTCATCCAGAACAGGACACTGAATTGCGAGCAGAGAGCGCGTCGAGAAGGTTCGACCGACACAGCCCGCAGAAGTTAAGAGCATCACAAGGGACGAGCTCAAGTCCAAGTATCGACCATCGTCCCTCATTGTCCCAGCGCCAATTCCAAAGTCTGGCGATGGCGACGCCACAACTCACAGTATGCCTCTGGTAATGCAGTCGCCGCGTTCAGTTGGACAAGTCCTTCCACTGCCAGCAGCAGACAATTCAGCCACTGCATCTTCCTCTTTGACCGTTGCAACGTCATTGCCAACGCTTGCGGTGAAGCGGCATAAGCAAGAGCTCAAGGACAAGGCCGCGTCCAAGCTCGTCAACTCACCACTCCTCAAAGGACTGTCCAAATCTTCCAGCTCATCATCACCCACCGCCTTTAAAGCAGCTCTGGCACAACTCAATGCTGTCGACGACTTGCGAACGTTGGGACTCGGTGGAGGCAAGTCTGGCCCGGCCAACCACCGCCACGAACACAGCGTCGAGAGGCGAATGTGCAACGCGTGCTGGGCAGAGCCCGTCAAACACACTTCGTGCGAACACCACTACCGCAAAGCCAACCCGAATCCCATGGAACTTCAGGTGACGCATTGTCATATTTGTGCCATCATCGGGTAATAATGGAGTCTGTAGGGAGCAACGAGTTGGTCCATTGACGATCTGCATTTCAAATACCGGTCCGAGCGCGCGCGCGAAGCCGCCTGGGTCGCCTCGATGCAGCTGCAAGAGGACGCACAGTCATCACCAGTCGTGCCCATTCTCGAGCGGCATCCGATTTACGACAAGTACTTCCACACGATCGACAACGACAACAAGTATGTCAAGAACGCGTCGCGTGCGAAGAACCAGACCAAGCGATTCGTCCTCGATGTGAATCGAGTCTGGCTCACAAACCTCGACCATTTTAACCACATGGCGAAGGATACGTGGACCGAGGACTTGCAGCACCCTGGGTTGAGGAAGAAAAATTGTCTTCGCGGCCGTCATGACCTCAGCTTGATTCGTCAAGGGTATAGCCAAGTCCAGTCCGTATCCATGGCATGCGCTCTGCAATACGCTCGACGCTCGGAGCCCGACATAGAGTCGGCCGCAGCATCCTCGTCCCCCCCCGACGGGACGCCTCCATCTCCGCCCCAATCAGTCAAAATCAAGTCCCCCAAGGACGGCATCGAAGCAGAGGGAACACCGTTATCTATCCTTGCGTGCGGCCGCATTGACTATCGCGGCCAAGTGCCGGGAACAGTTGTCCTCGCCACATTCCCGGGGCTGTGGTGGTGCATCTCGCCCGAGTCTTTCACTCGACCCATTGCCATGTACCTGCGGAATCCAAAGCTGTCGTCGACAAACACGATCCTTGTCCACGTGCTCTTGGCGTTGGACTCGCCCGTTTTGGCCCCAACGTGGTTTGCTTGGATTCCAGGGACCGTTTGCGCGCCGGTGGAAACCGAGATCGCGACCATGTTCCATCACATTCCCCTTGTGTGCGGCCTTGTCGAGTCGCTGCCGACAGTCGTGTCGCCACTGGACAATTACCTGCCGTCGACGATATCCGTTGCAAACGGATGCGACGAAGCCTTGCCTGACGCCTCGGAACTCAACGACCTCAACTTCCGACAATGGATACGATGGACCACCGTTCGACCCAACTTTGACTTGGATGCCCAGGCGTATGGCATCGTTCAAGGCTATTCCAACCAGACGGGGCTCAACGGACGGTTCAGTTGGCACTCGGATGAAGTGGTTGACTCGCACACACTTATTCGGCCCCGCCTCGAAGCCGTACGTAGGGGGCATGCCGTGCCCGGTCTCGACAAACTGAACCATCGATCGATCGGTCGTTTGTAGGACTATGCCGTGCTCGCTCGCAATCGCGTCGTCCGCGGCGGGAACGACCCCAACATGTACACGATGAACATGCGCCACGAATCCATCGACAAAATCACCACGAGTGGTCTGCGGGCGTTTCTCGCCGCCCAGGAAAAGGTCCGCGAAGACGAACGGCTCAAGCACCAATTGCTCGAGATCGAAACCAAGTTGCAAGCGGGGCGGCTAGCCTTGGACGCCAAACGCGCCGAGAAGCGACGGTGTGGCAATTCGTATCGTGCGAGTTGATTGAGACTGTGCCCCCTGTAGCCTCGACGCGGAAGCCCACGTCCGCCACGAACAACGGACCAAACAACTGGATGGTGTACACGCGATGCCAGTACGACATGCATCCGGCCATCCTCGCCTTGACGAGACTGTTCGTGTAGGACAGCACGGTTGCCGAATGGGCGGACCGTGTAGCGCACTCGCGCCTCATCCGCGACTGGAATGGATGGGAACAACGTGAATTGATCGATTCGCACGTGCGGTTTTACCACCACACGAATCCAGGATTGACGATGGCCAACCAGTGGCATCCCCCCGACGGATGGCCGCACGACGAGGCCTCGCTTGCCACAGCCGACGCTGACGACGACAACGACTCGACCGAATCGGACGGACCCGACTCGGCGCGCAAGGCATCAAGTATCAACAATTCGATCGAAACGATGGCGAAAGCACTTGCCGAGAACGAATCCTTTGTTGCGATGCTCCAGGAAAAGCTCGGACTAAAGCCTCGACAAGACCCGACCCGTCGGACTTCCTCCCTCCACACAGCTCCATCCAACACCCACACCAACGACAGCTCCGACGACGACGATCAAGACGACAGCGACGACACAATTGCAGGACGCGTGCTGCGTATGCTTGCCCAAGACGATTCGACCCAAGACACCAACACAGCCAGCGTCAAGCGGCTCACTCGATTGCAAATTGTCAAGGAAGCGTCTCAAGTGAAGACGCCCGGAGAAGGGTGGAAGCGGCTTAAGCCCACGCGTTTGCCTCGAACGTTTGCCAGAAAAGTGTACATGCCGACGATCGCTGGCCCCACGGTGTGTTCGGTCGGTCCCCCTTGACGCTCCTGACAGGTCGTGTGCGGTAGGCGTCGTTCATGAACCAAACCAACCTGCCATTGATCGTGGGCCTCCTCGACCCGAGCAAGGACGCAACGCACATTCAACCGGACGCGGTGCCCGACTTCCGCCACCACATCATTCCGGTTCGAGTCTGGATCGTAGCTGTGGCGATCGCTGTGATGCGCTGGTAGAACTTGGACTCGGAGATGACTGCGATGAAAAAAGTGCTTGCTGCGTCGGCCAAGAAAGGTCGACGATCGACGATCGTGCAAGTGTTCCAAGACGCGCCGGCCGACGAACTCGAAGCCGCGCCGGAAAATCAAGTCACGGAAGCCGAGAGGATTGCAAAAGCAGTTGTGTACACGCGCAACAACAACGTCAAGGAGGTACGGGAGGCGATTGCCATGGACCACCCCTCATAGACGTTTAGCTCGAAAACATGCTGGACGAAGGCGTCAACATCAACGCCCGCGACGAAAACGGCAATACGCTGTTCATTTTGGCGTGCCAGCAAGGCAACAAGAACATGTGCAAGTTCTTGATGCGGCGGCGGTGTGAGCTCGACTCGCAGGCACGACCTACTCCATTCGTCATGTGGGTGGATCTCTCACCTGGTGCGATGTGTGCAGAACTTTCGAGGCAACACGGGCCTGCACTACTGCTACGAGTACAAGTGGACCGAGTTGGCCTCGTATTTGAAGGAGAAAGGCGCCAAGGACGACATCCCGAACGCCGAGGGGCTCATGTGCTATGAAGGCATCTCCAGCGACAACCTCCAAAAGATTTAGCTCTCTGTTCAACCATATTTACGAACACCTTCCTGCAGCGAGAGTGGCCCCTCGCTTCCTTGTCCATATCGACCGACAACGGCATGGACATCAGGCACCCCCATGAGCAGAAATTCACAGCTCTTCCATTATAATATTATCCGATGATGTTCGACGTCCGCAATACGACTGGCCGCGCTCTTGCCTAGTACAAGTCGCCTTCAAACAGCACTTCGTCGTCCTTCTTCTTGTAGATTTGGTCTCCTTCGTGGAGCGAATGCTCTACGTGCGAAGGCCCCACAGACCGTGCCATCGATTTGTTGGTCGTGGCGGCTTTTTCGCCGCCCGTTAGAGGCGTCATCACTTCTTCGTAGTCGTCCGTTAGTTCTTGCTCTCGCATCAGCGCAGTTTGCTTGGCACGTTGATGGATCTTCGAGCCAAAATGCACGGCCATCATCAAGAGGGCGACACCACCAAATACGATCCCCGTGATCACAGGGCCAGACAATTCAATGCCAACGTTCATCGGCACAGTGTACAGCTTGTACTTGAGGTCCCATTGCGCTGCATCGATCGACAGCGGGTCCGTACAACATTCCAAGTTCCGACCCCACAAGGCGTTCGTTCGGGTGCACATTCCAGACAGACCGCGGCATTTGACGGCCAACTTGTCCCAACTGTAACCAGCTGACTTATCAAACTTGAGGTCGGTCGTGAGGCAACCGGCCAAAATGATGGCCGAACCTGTGCTCGAGCCGTAGCATCCACCGTTGATCTGCTTGGACCCAGTGACTTTGAGTCCCGTGGTTTTTCCTTCTTGCTTGATGTATGTCTGCTGGACTGCCCAAAAGTTCTTGCAGTCGGTAGATGCCATCAAGATCGCTCGCAAGGGAGACTTGGTGGGAGGTGGGTTGCGAGTGTCTGTAATGTTCCATTGCAAAGTCGGGCCGTACAAAAAGCCGCAATCTTCCTTCTCGGGAGGGCTCGCTTGGTTGTTGCAGCTCGGCATGACCTTGCCCTTGGCATAACAACATCCGTTTGCGACGGGTGTCGAGTACACCGATGGGAGGTTCTGAATCGACGACGCGTTGGAAAAGTTAAGCGCAAGACCGTCCGGGCCAGTCGATGGCCGCACGCATGTGTATGGGCAAGTGACGCATCCACCGTTCAATGGCGAAAAGTTGGACCAACCTACTCTCGTTCTAGTGAGATTCCCCGCCGCCACATACACCGCACACGTGGATTTCGAACGCACCTTTGAAGTCGACCTTGATCGAGTACCCCGCCGACTGATTCCAGTACACGGCAGACGCACTGGAGGCCGCCAACGCCCACACACCCAGCGCTTTCATCATCGTCGTCGTCGCTGTGGTTGCCGGCAGAAGGTCAGGAAAACAAAAACTGACTGCTGGCGGCAAGTCGTCGGTTTTTCGATATTTTCCATACAAACTTTCGATAAAACGCGTGGGTTTCGCGTCTCCCTTTTTGTCACGCGGGTAGGGCGTGGTGCTTTTATCTTGAACTTTGTATGGTGGATTCTCCCGTCAAGACTATGTTGTGACTAACGTTCGGAGATCTGCCCACCGTCGGTATCGTGACGACGAGCGAAGTTGCATGTTTCAGTCACGACAACGAGCCTTTACCGCGAACGCGGCAGAGACCATGACGCTGCCGACGGAGACAGGCATCGACGCTCGGAGACGGCGGTGGATCCGCGTCCGACAACGCCACTCAGTTCACTCTCCTGGTACGGCAAGCTTTCGTTACAACGTGGCAGAAGTGAGATGTGAAATTTTGACGCATGAATGTACCGCGCGACCCCAGGGAGAGTCGAGGAGAGAGTCGATTGCACTTCGATTCAGATGTCGATGGTGGTGAAAACGCCGATGGCCGTGTATCCATCCATCCAAATAGACTCGCCAAGTTTATTTTTTCAATTTTTCGTGTGGACAAGCGCGACGGGGTGTCGCACAGAGTCAAAGATTTGGCCGTCCATCACGTTTAGACGGTTCACGCGTGGTAGGTTCGCATTCGATTGCCGTGTAGAGACCACCGGTGCGCAGCAGATACCGTTGCAAACAGTTCCAGTTCAAGGCAAGCGATGTGCGGCATGTCTTCGACATCATGAATCCATCCTTCTGTAACGACCGCTCCCGGTCGCGCGTGATCTCGTGGGATGGATTGAGTGCCACATGTGGCTGACACCTCTCGAAGAGAGTGTGAGTGAAAGAGAGTTCGCCTCGACAAGGCGATGGGGAGAGACTTGGCTGGATTCGGTCGTGGGTGAAATTACCTTATTCTTGTGCATTTCACCTGTTGCGAGCTTTGGGCATCTTGGATTGGTGGGCCGAGGCTGGCTGGATGGTTGTTTTCAAGGGAATTCATGTGGCAAGCAAGGAGACTGGCGCCATACATTACCCCAGTAACAAAAAGCCAGTCAACCGAGAGCCGAGTATTTTTATTCCAATTGCAAAAAAATACGACAAAAAGGACGGCAGAGCACGCACATCGAGGTGTCATTCCGAGAAAAGCGCCCATCGTGCAACTTCGTCGAGGCCGAAGATGGTTGTACTCGGAAACCTGCTCACAGGGATCATCGGCACCGTCGGGGGCTTCTCCCTTGCGCTTGCCGGGTGGTCGCCGTTGTCCCTTGGATCCCGTCCCCTCTTTTACTTTACGCAGTGCCTTTCGTCGTTTGCCATGTAAGTTGAAAGCGTGATGTGTTCGTGTCGGTCGACGATGGATCTTGATCGTTCCCCCTGTGTAGGCTGTATATGATTGTCTATGCAACGATCGAATTCGCATCCCCGTCGACCCATGAAATGTGGAGAATCATTGTTGCCGCCTGCGTCGGTGGTGCCGCCTCCATCATCGCTGCCTTCCTCACGTCCCTCGGGTGTATTGTTCTGGTTGTCGTAACGGGTCTCATTGCTGGACCTTGGTTGCTCACGCTTGACACCGTCGCGGCGAAGCTCTTCGTGAACGAATCATCGTTCGCCAAGCAAGAGTTTGTCGTCGGGTTTGCCCTCTTGTTTACCCTCCTCTTCTTGAGCTCCTCCAAGACCTCGGACATCGAGTGTCACCGTTTCAAGTACATTTTATTCAGTGCAATCACCGGCGGGTTCATCTTTTCGGATGGTCTCTTCCGCATCGCCTTTGATCCTACCCCCTCTCCGTCCAAAGCCGCTTTCGGCATCATGGGGTTCAAGAGTGCCGTCGGTGACGTGCTGGCAAACTTTTCCTCTGGTATCCGCAGTGGCGACCAATTGGTGATGTTGGCCATCTGGGGTGGTGTGATGGTTGTGGGTCTCCTGAACCAACTGTGCATGCGGTGGGGCCTTGTGTGCTACAACAAGGTCGGCGCGCATGTCGGCATGACGTCGATCCACGAAGAAACCATGGAGCTTCCTAGCGGCGCTGCCGCTTCGGCCCCGTTCATGCACGAACGCACACGTCTCGTGTGCGAAAACTGCTTTGCCACCGTCCCAGCCGGAACTGCATTCTGCACTGAATGCGGTGAAGCCATGCCTGGTGACGACCACGTTCCCAGTGTGTCTGTCTCTCAAGCCCATCCCCCTTCTGTTGCGATGGGCACTGACGGCCAAACCCCTGCGAGCTGGCAGCAAATTCCTAACCGTGCGTACCTCTCGACGACATCGTTTGTCGACCCCAAGAAGATGACGGAACACACGACGGAAGGCCGGTCGATCCGCTTCATGGACCAAGGCGACAAGCCGTACGCGTCGAGCATTGGTGGTCGTCCCAACCACTACGAACCATCTTTCCGATCGTTCGCCATGAGCACGTACTCGATTGCGAACCGTGCAGCCGAACCCGTGGACACGCCCAACATCCGCAAGTACAAGATGTCTGGCGGGGGTGCCTTTCACTTGACGTACTTCCTGTCGGCCATCACGGGCGTCGTGTGGCTTGTGTTTTTGATCACGTTTTACCCTCGTGAGACTCCCTGCAGCATCACACAGCCGTCGTTGCCTTGCTCGTTGATTGAAGAAAGCATCAAGACAGCTCACAAGTGCTACACAACGTTGGATCCGAACGGCAAGGACCAAGTCACGAACGAGTTCTACTGCATCAGGCCGACCCCCGCCGGCGTTTGGTTTTGCTACATCATTTTCGTTGGATCCGAGTACCTCAACTTTTTCCTCGGTCTGCTCTTCAACTTCTCCATGTGGCGCCCCATCCGTCGTGGTGCCCGCTACCTCAACGACTTCAAGCCTCCGCTTCCAAAGGAACAGTGGCCAACGGTGGACGTGTTTTTGTGCCATTATTCCGAACCTGTCGTGGATACGATGGCGACGATGAAGAACATTTTGGCGATGCAGTATCCTCCGGAACTCCTCCATGTGTGGGTGTGTGATGACGGGTACACCAAGTCTGTTTGGGATGCCAACAACCACTTCAAGGTGACGGTGAACACGAAGAACATTGAATTCTGCGGCGACTTGCGCGGCGACTTGGCGCGCATGATGCATGAACGCGTGGTTGGCCCTGTCCAAGACGACGCGTCGTTGAAAGCGTGGCGCCGCCAGCACTCTAGTGTCCGCGAGTTGCGCAAGGATGGCAGCAAGGGTATCCAGCGCCGCGATTGCGCTGTCGGATCGCTGAGCGACGACTACGATTACCGGGACCGTGGCCTGCCGCGTGTGACGTTTGTTGGTCGCATGAAGCCGGAAACTGCCCATGCCAAGGCCGGTAACATCAACAACATTCTGTTCAACGAAGGCGCGGACGGCAAGTACATTTTGATTCTCGATAACGACATGAAGCCCCACCCCAAGTTTCTCTTGGCGGTGCTGCCGTTCTTCTTCTCGGAAGGCGAAGCGGTTGACGGCGGCGGGCGTCAGTACTCGGACGACATTTCGTGGAACCAAGTGGCGTATGTGCAAACGCCGCAGTACTTTGAGGACACGCCGCAACTGACGGAAATGGGCGATCCGTGCGGGCACAAGAACACGATCTTTTTCGACGCCGTGCAGTGCGGTCGTGATGGGTTTGATTCGGCAGCTTTTGCCGGGACCAACGCGGTCTTTCGTCGGCAAGCGTTTGACTCGATTGGCGGCATCCAGTACGGGACCCAAACCGAAGATGCGTACACGGGCAACATCCTGCACACTGCCGGGTGGGACTCGGTGTACTTCCGCAAGGACTTTGAAGGCGACGCCAAGGACCGCATCCGTTTGTGTGAAGGTGCTGTGCCTGATACGGTGGCTGCCTCGTTGGGTCAGCGCAAGCGTTGGGCGATGGGTGCCGTTCAAATTTTGCTCATGAAGGGCCATTCGGAAGTCGATCCGGACTGGCGCCCGCCGCGCGTGCCGACTCCGGACCCGAAGCCGAGCTTGCAATTTCCTCGCAAGTTGTTCTTCTACGATTCGGTGTTCTATCCGTTTGGGTCGATTCCTGCGCTGTGCTACGTCTTTATCGCTATCTACTACCTCAACACGGGATCGGCGCCCATTTTCACGCCCGGCAACCAAATGTTGTACACGTTTTTGCCGCTCATGCTTTGTCGTTGGATGCTCAACTTGCTCGCGAACCGCAGTGTCGACTCAAACGACGTGTGGCGCGCTCAGCAGACGTGGTTTTCGTACTCGTTCATCACGGCGTTGGCTATTGGAGAGGCTTTTCGTTGGCGCTTGACGGGTGTCATTTCCGCGTGGGCGAACACGGGTGCCGGGCAAAAAACGTCGTGGACGGAAATCCCCAACGTCCTCATGTACTTCACGCTGGTTGTGAGCCAGTGCGTGGGTCTGAGCCGCTTTTTTGCGTACGAAAACGCGACCGCGCCGTGGAATTACATCTCGGCCATGTTTTTTGGGTTCTGGATTATGAGCAACTTGTACCCGATGGCCAAGATGAGTATCACCGAGTACGCTGGGTGGGACCACACACGCGCGACGTTTACCGCCAACGTGTTTGGGTCGCTCATTCTCGTGGCAGTCGTTGTCTTCGTCCAAGTGTGGCAATCGTCGTACATGATCAACCAGTACACGGCGCAAGGGATCATTGCGACCACGTCAACGTCGACGGGCAGTGCGGCAACCGGCAATTAAAGTTATCGCGTAGTTTTGCTTAAAATATCACACATCTGTATACCACAAGAACGTGTTTTCATGGATTAAATGCATCACGTCCGCGGTGCTCGGACCGTCCTCCTGACCGCACTACGTCCCGGTCGCCCGCCGCAAGAGCACAGCGTTCAACGTAGTAATTGATTGAAGTTCTAGACGATGGTAAGATGGTAAGTGTCGATGCCAACGCCTCAGACCAATAGAATCGAGACGCATTCCCCCTCAGAATTCGACAACATATCGTCCTGGGAAGGAATGGGCGGGTGAAACACACTCCCCTGCTTCGTTGCACGGGAAGATAGATACGAGACCGGCCACGGTCAAGGGACCCAAGGAATCTCACAGGCATGGACGATGTTGCCAAACAACTGCATGCCACGCACGGTGATATGGGCCCGTATGAATGGGTGGATTTGTTGTGCTCTGCATGTGTTGTTGGTCGTGGGTCCAGACCTGCCGACGCGGCGCTGTGCTTGATGCCAAGTCCATTTGAATGCATCGAAGGAGGCACCTCGTCATGACCTGGCCGAGTTGCCCACTACAGTTTAAACTGAAAGGTCCGACTCAGATATTTATACTTGGTATTTGTATACCAATACAAATTACAAATAAGAGAAAATCCTGGTCGACAAACCGACCTTTGAACCATCGCAGCGACACACCTAGGCGGCGACCGCTCGTCCAAGTACCAAGATGTACTTGTAATCTTCCCCCGTCAGTAGCGGCATCTCGACTTCCCTGCCCGGTAGTCAGTTCGCCGACGTGCGTCCACGCACACCTTACCGCACGGATCAACTTGGTCGTGCGGTTCATAGTTGTTCAGTTGAGCTGTCTCAAGAAAGGTCTACAAGTTGTGGTGGTGAGCGTTCACGTCACGGTAGTAAACAACGACACCACCAAGTATTGGACGCGGTTGCTGTGCTTATTCACCCATCCATTCAGTCTAGCTGAAGTTCGAGGAAGAGCAAGACAAAGCGGTGCTGGAGTCAATGACAAACGAAGAGATTCGCCTACTGAACGACCCCACGACTCATGACAGGGGTACATTCGGCGAAGAACACCAGTTTACTCGCGATATCATCGGCGCTTACAGCTATCCCATGCGGCCGGTAGAAACGACTTCCATCGATGGCACGAGCTCTTTCTTCCGAGCGTGATATGAACTTTGAACACGACCATCCGAGGGAATCGCATCCATTTTTGTTGGGGCAAGTGTTCATGTTGGTGTCGACCCTTCTGGCGGGTCCCACTGCACCTGCTTGGTCTTGAAATTGCTCCAGAACGTGGTGTTGTTGTGGCTATCGCGAAGCTGGTGCCAAGGCCCAACAGTCGCCACGATCTACAAATGCCAGCGTTGGCACATGATTTCACGTCTTCCGCTTACGCATGCTCGTTGGAGCGCGACTCGCCCAGGGCCTGCAGTGGCGTATCGCCCATGCGGAGTTCTTTCCTTGACCAGGTTTGCGTAGTTTTCAACGGTCACAGTGTGTCCCGAGTCTTGCGCTAATGCCCGGCGATATAGCAGCTCGGCCTGCCGTATAGTCGATGAGACACCACGCTGGTCAGAGACGTAAACCTTGTCGATATCGTCAAGCACCACCTCGGCAAAGAGTGCATAATTCGCCATCGCCTACAGCAGAAACAGGATGAAATGATGTAAACGAGACCGCTTCGCACAATGGCATCGTTTGGCGCGACAAGCACAGCCCATCGAAAGCACGTCAGTTCGAGTGCCTTCACGGCGGCCAACGACTTGTCCATCCGTTTGGCGGTCTTAAGTAGCGCGCTGGCTCGAGCCGCATTTTTCTTGAGCGGGGCGCGGCCGGTCGCGAGAAGCAGTATCGCCAAACACGTGGATGCGACAACTTCGTGGGAAGGATAGTTTTCCAGGAGTTGTTCGTACAGCGCAATGGCTTTGGAGAACTACCAAGCATAGCGTGACCTCACGTTGAGTTGAGAGCTTACGTTGTGGGTAAGTGTGTGATGGTGAAGCGCCATGCGCTCGATGTCAACCGACGACGTGTCGGGCGTGACTCGATTCGATCCGCCCTGCCAAGATGGTCAGGCTGACGATGCCAAATCGCTTCGGTTTTACGATCAAGTGGTGGTATGCCACGGCTTTCGCCAGGTGCTGCATCGTGAGGCGCCCGATGGCTGCGTGCCGGCGATGTCGATAGGCCCGCTGGACCTTCAACGCTGCCTGTACGCGCATTGCACAAAGTAAGGTGCGTCAGTGTATCGCTTCTTGCCGTATCCAGGTTGAACCAACTCGCAACGCCACGCGACGGGTTGAAGAAGTACACCCTGCCATGGTCGTCGTCTTGAGGCAGCCATTCGTTTGGTGGCGGTGGATACGTCACTGAAATAAACCGACGGAGGGGTGGCGATGCAAAGCAATGCCCCGTCGTGTGGCTTTGGAACCACACGTGGCCTGCCGTCGGATCGAACGAAATGGCAAAGTTGGCCTGCGCAGTTGTGGATGTCAGGGCATCCAGACTAGAGTTAGGCGATCACACCTGGAGCATTGTCGCAACGGCTTGGCGGGTGCGAAAGCCCATCCAGACGGCTTGGAGTCGCGTCGATGCGTTGTATCGATCCTCGATCGAGTACATCCGACGTATCGCACGTGGTTGTTTCGTGTCCTGGACAGGTTTCGCAGGTTGAAACAGTGCGGGTGCAGGCGTTGTGGAGCCATGCACAGCGACATAACGAATCAACACGCGCAGATGCGATCGGGCGACTTCGTGTGCCTCGCACTCGAACGCTTGTGCGACAAATCGTCTGCACGAAATCTCATCCCTATACGTCGACTCGACGGCGACGCCACAGCACACACTTGATGGTGTCGAGCGACTGGGATGAGCCATCTCGAGAACCGATTGAACAAAGGCCATGTCCAACTCATGCTTGGTCGCGCGGGACGTCCTAGCCAGGTAGGTTGGCATGAATATGCAAGCAGGGGCGATTGACGAAACGTACGATGGGGCGTAGAGGAGAACGTCGACGTGAGAATGACGCAGGAAGACGGATGCAATCCACGTCGTCTCATGGAGTCGACACCCCAGTCGTTGCAACAACTAAGTCGAATTTTCGTGAACGAGTGGGGCGGCGACGTGGAGTCGGTACCCGCCCTCGGCCACACCGATCGTCAGACGCATGCATTTTGACGCGATGCACTGCTGTATTTACGTAAAGCCGACGGAGCAACCCCTCCAGCCGACTGCGAAGCTTGCTTGGGTCAGGCTAACGCCATGCATGACAGTCCATGCGCATGAATCTGCACGAACCTTGTCGTGATCGACCACAGCCGCCCAAATGTCTTGCAGCGCGCCCTCATGCACATCGAAGGTGTACGTGCGACTGTCGGACGGTTGGTACACCTCCAAGTGGAGTTGGGAATTCTTGGACTGGTCGATATGGCTTCGGAAGACTGACACGAGCATGAGGTTGCCTCCAATACGATACGCCAGCCGCGACATGAGCAGCCGCTTTCGTGTTCGTAGGCGCTGGATGTGCGCGTTCCACTCGGGACATCGTGCTCTGAATCGACGTTTCTTCCACAGACGGTACTTGACCCACACCTGGAGCCTCACTTGGCATGTCACAACGAACGCCCGCTCTGCTTCCTCACGCCGGCGTTTTTCCAATCGTGCGAGCTCCCACGCACGTTCCATGGCGGCTACCCGCTGCATGTCTTTGAACTGGCGCATGCAGTGCAGCATTTTGAAGCAACTAACAATCGTTGTCGCTGCTTGACGACGTCGTCGTATCATTGCCCAATGGTGTCTAGATGCTTTTCGTCATGTCGTGCCGAGTGTGTTGACCGGCACGCGTACTTGAAGTGACCGTAGACAACATAGCTCCGATACCTGGCCTGCACACGCGTCGCCGCGCAGATTTGTCGCGCCAATACGTCCATCGCGTGCATCTTGGCCTCCATTCGATACGATTCCATCGTCTGGGAGACGATGCCAGTCATGAAAAACATGCTGCCGTCGGCAGGTCATGACGTACTTGGTCCCAATTGCCCCGCATGCTCGGTGACAAGATCATAAAATGCAGGAAAAAGTACAAGAGCGGCGCCATCGTGCCGTTGCGATGGGACCTTGTCACGTGGTGGACGACGAGAGCGATCGCGGCTCGAAACCCTTCCAAATCCATTTGAAACCGGAGCAACGCAAAACGATGGAAGATGCCGTCGAGCGACCCCATCGCGAGCATGGACGGCAGCACGTGGCAGTCGCGAATGAATTTTGAAAACTTGACCGAGTCTACCAGGGGTGGAAAAAACTACGGTCACCATGTCAGCACCATGCAGGGGCAGTACCGATGTAAACTACAAACACCACATCAGTCAAACACGGAGCCAGAATTCATTGAACACGAACTGTTGGCTGGGTACGAAGCGCACAGCTCGTGAAACTTGGCATCAACGAGGGCGTCGCACGGAGTTTTGGACACGATGGCGTGCCAGTCGACATGACGGCTCCACAGCGTCCCTTCCACGAGCTGCTCTGGCACATGAAGCGGCAGCGAAACGCCAAAGTACTTGTAGCACTGTGAGCTGCCGTTGAAGTCAACCATGGGGTGGGTAACGAAGGCTTGGATATCGTGGAGCCATTGCGGCCGCTTGTCGTCTTGCTAGAGCATCCCACGACGTGGTTGGTCCCATTCGAAGGTCATCCCTTGGTCGTACCGCGTCAACCATGAGCCATACGCTAGACATGGGCGGGAGTGGTTTGGCTCCGGCAGGTCGGCAAATGTCGAATGTGCGGACATCGTCGACCCACCCCGACTCGATCGTGACTTGACTGCTATCCGCAAGCCGCAAGTCCGCGCCTTTCGCAAACACGTCGCGCAGGGTCGTCGTTGGGTCCAGGGCGTCGAAAAGGACGTGGCACGTGTACCGCTCCGTCGTCGCCGACACTTCGGTCCATTCCACCGACACGCAGACGTGGAGGGGCACGCATCGAGTTGTCCTTTTCTACAAAAACACCCCCCGAAAGGAAATGATTGTGCAATGACACAAGTACGTACCTTCGATGCCTTGTCCTCGTCGGGAAGCACGTCCTCTTCCTGCAGCAAGAGCAGGATGAATGGTTCGTCTCGGAAAGTACGCGAGAGTGCTCACGGTGAAAAGGTGGAGCTGCACCGCCTACGCATTATTCAAACCTACAATGACAACCGTCGTCGACACACCAGTGCGCGGAGCTCAGCCGCGTAAGGTCGTTGTTTGGGGGGTGATGGTATTTGTGTGCGTCTTCCAGGGCAGCTTGGGCCTTTGCCAGCCTAGACTTGTGCGTGAACTGGGTGCATCTGTCTAGAAAATGCAAGAAGTATACTCCATCGGAAGCACTCGACTCCACGCGACTCGCATCGTGGCTTGGAATGTTCTGGGCACATGTTTCCGCGACACATTCATGGCCGTGCGCTGCCCACAGCCCAAGGAGGCTCGTGAGCTGCATCACCAGCGCAATGTCCAAGAGAGATCGGTGCATGGGGCACAAAGTGACGTGGGGCAGTGTCGTTACGCTGGCCGAATTCACCTGGCGATACACCGCCTGGACGACGTGTTACACTCCTCCAAGTGTGTCGGGGACTTCGTACCAAGGGCGAATGAGAAATGTGGTCGACCAGGTTCAGTGCGGGCGCCATCAGGTGATGGTTGGTATCGCGAGGGCTGAGCAATGCGACGGGTAGAATGGCTCGGGCATCGAGCTTGGTCTCCATGACAGCGGACACCGGGGACCTTCGATGGTACATCACCATGTCACTCGAGCCATACCGGGATTCAACAGCACGGCGGCATTGTCGCAGAGACATGGTCGGAGTGACCAGCACCACACCAACCCCCACGACGAAGGGCGGGCACACGACCACGAAATACACGGGGAGAAGATGGGGCAGTTGAATATCTTCACGGCAGTCGACAAAAGATGCGTTCAAAACGTGTTGTAGCCACGTCCGAAACGCAGGTGGCGGCAGTGTGTGGCGAAACAAGTCATCGAAAGCGCAATCTCGCCTGCGAACTGTCGTGCGGTGGAAGGTCGTGGCGTCGCATACATCGATCGTGGCGTCCTACGACCCAACGAAGGGTCACGATGGATCGGTTCACAAAGGTCGTACATGACTCGAGCTTCGAACCAAGCAGAGGAATAATCTTCCATGAAGGCGCAGCACGAATCGAAGGGATGGCCTCGAAGGGACTGAGCGGGTCGTGTGGGGCTGTTCTGGCTTGTCGGGGTCGGCAAGACTACGGGGGACAGAGGCTTGGAGACAGAGCACAACCCAACTGGCCAATGCGGCGGCGATGGCGCTGACTTTGCGCAGGGCTTGGATACGAAACGCAGGGTCTTGCAGGTACAGCATGCACACGTGGGTGATGGTGGGATGCACGGGGTGATGAAAACGTCGACGTTGAAGGCGGAGGAAGAGCGCGGCGCAGTTCCGCAACAAGGTTTCTCGTAGAAAAGCCCACGTGAGTTGGACCATACTTGGTGGGAGGCAATCGTTTTGGACGGCGCTTTCGTGCAGGATCAAGTACACCATCGCCATCAAGAGATGCACGGAGCGATGTGGGTGCGTAGGAAATTTGGCCAGCGCCTCCAGGTCGTCCACCGTCAATCCCAAGAGCAGGCTTTGCATTTGGACAAGCGACTCGCGCTCTAGAATGGCCCGAAGCGATGCAGTCGTGTCATTAACCGCTCGTGACTCGCCGGCCATGCTTTTGGGCACTTGAATCGGGTTTGTCAGTTACAGAATCGGTTACACTCTGCTACGCACAAGAAAGGGCGTGTACGGTTTCCACGGGTGTTCGCGCCGCGTGTAGATGACGACGTCGTTCTTCGACGTGGGGTCAGCTGTCGGCTGGAGGGGCTCGCGGAGGTCGTCGACGTGGGAAGAAAGCCAAAACTTGAGGTCTTCCTGGATAAGGGACGAGTTCACGTCAAGCGCGCAGAGCAGGGAGTTGAGCACCGTTTGGTCTTGTCTGTGGTTAGACCGATTCGTTCCAGGTGGAGCGATGCAGTCGTTCTCCATCGCACATGCCAGAAGCGGCTCGAGGACCTACGCGACGCAACATGAGCTCATTGCGCTTCGTCGAACACTGACTGACGTGTGTGTATGCCCATGAACCGCGGGTGTAACCTTGGAGGCCGGCGGGGACTTGGTGTCGACTGTAGAAAGGGGCAGAGCAATTGAAGCGCTGAATGGTTTCCATCGAGTGGAATCGCGTGTTGGGGAACCGCTGCCGTTGAATTGTGTAAAACACCCCGTGCGTTTGCAAGATGTGGCGAATGTCGTCGATGGGTTGCCGCAGCTCCATGTTGGCGTCGATCCACAGCACGTGGTCCGCCCGCTGCAGCGCTTCATAAAGCCCCCACGGCTTGAACGAGTACGTTCGACGGAGGTCTCTGAAGTGCGGTGGTAGTGACTCGAACGGCAGCCGAAGCAGAGTTGTGTGTCGCCACGTTGCAATTTCGTTGCGACTGATGGGGGAAAGTCCAAGGTCGTATATTTCAATGGCTGCCGATGGCTCCCAAAAGTGAATGGATCCAACGAGATTTGCAAGTCGTCCGTTTTGCATATACCTACGCGTGTCATCCTGGTGAACTGCGCGACGTCAGGACGAAGAAGCACGCACACTTCGTCGCACGCCGTCACGAACGCGACGTGCACAGCAGTTGCCTCGTCCATCACGTGAAGGGATATGGCGGCACTGACACCGGCGGAAGTAAAGACGTAGAGGGTCATCGGGCCACTGGCAATATCGCGCACAGAGAACGTTGCGGTGTCATTAGCAACGCAGGTTCTCTCGGTGCCATTGATGTAGATGCAGATCGGGTCATGCATGCCAGCAGCTGCAGTCCACTCGACGTCGAAACCAGTGGACAGGACGTTAGCGCCATGACGGGGCGATGTGATCTGAACCGGGTCGAGTGTGAAGGAAAGCGTGGCAATGTCACTGATGCCGACTTGACCACGCAGTGTCGATGGAATCTGAACGTATGTCTGTGCAACGTAGGTATGGCCAGGCTGAGCATGGCGCATCTCAAACGACTCTGTCATGGCTTGGATTTGCTTGCAATGGTGCATGGGGCACCCCACGTTTGCTGTGTCAGTCAAGTTGACACACACCATGACGCCTTGATCTGCGAGCCGGTTGAACGTAAGCGGGGCGCAGAATCGCTCCGAGCGGCTCTCGATGTGAACCCAGTCTTGAATTGCCTCAACCTCGGCAGAGAGACGCGCACATGCGCTGTCGGTAATGTTGGCTTGCATGCAAATGTTGGACACTTGCGTGGTCAACGCGCTTGGTTGCCATGAGTCAACGTTTGTGCCAAGGTACAATTGGACGTCCATGTAATGCCGGATCTCGTTCAGCTCCAGCGGAATCCTCGCGTGGCCGCTGTAGGTGGTGGAAAAATGTAGAGCGGTCTGAGTAATTGACCCGACAACATGAGCCTGCGTGGTCAACTCAAACGACGATGGATGCAAAACGACGTCCACAATCAGCTCTGTGATGCCGTCGGGGCGTTCGACAGGGGCACGTTGGAACTTGGCGAGAATGACAGACGGGTAAACACTCGTACATGTAGTTTGCCAGTACCGATTCCGCGCACCAGCGCTCATGGCCAGCACCGGCAAAAGCCACCACGATCGTGGCATCTCGTTCTCGCTGGGAAGATCGCAAGGCATGACATGGTTTTTCGTGTACATCCGGTTAACCTTCGTTAACCGGAGGCTCGATCACAGTGTGCCTGCGGCCAAGATATGCAGTCGAGTATGCTGGCTCGTCACCCGACACTTGACGAAGAATTCGGGGCAGTTCAGTCCCCGAACAAGGATGTTGACTTCCTGCCACCGCCATCGGCGAAGGACATCACTCCCAACATGCACCTGAAGACCGACGCGCCAATCTCGCTGTCATTGTCGCTGTCGGACGGGCAGCACTTGGGCGACCTGTTGGCAAAGCACCTCACGATGATGACTGTGCTGGCACCCCTTCCTCAGTGGCAAGGTGTTGCATTGGCCAGAGTCAACACATGGGGACCACAGCAAGTGTTGCTGCAGGTCGAGCAGTTGCAGCACACAGACCAAGTGCGCCTGATCCTGTCCAGCGACCCTCGAACCCGTCAGACTCGTCAGGTCGAGCGTTCAATCCTTTATCGCATTCTGCGTAACATTCAAGAGCGCCTGCAGCCTGAAGAAAAGGTTCCTCAACGCCCTCGCCGACAGAATAGTACGTTTGACGACGACAAAGCGGACGTGGAACTGGCATCGTTGCGGCGCCAGCCCCTAGAACCAGGAGACTTGGAAGAAAAGGAAGACGTGTCGTCGCCAATCTATGCATTGCCGCGCACGCCAGTGTCGTGTGTCCCTGAGGAACTTGAATTCCCACCTGCGACGCCGCCGCCAGTGCCGTTGCATGCTCTCGATGGAGGTGCAGTTGACTGCATGGCCACAGAAAACTTCGACGACATGCCAACTCGAAAACGATCCAACACGCTGCGTTACCTCATCAACAAAGACGCCTTTGGCGGGATTGCATTCGAGGGGTACTTGAGCAAGAAAGGCGACTTGCTGGCGGCGTGGAAGAGTTGCTACTGTGTGCTGGAAGGGCTGACACTGGCGATTTACGACTCTCGAGAAGACTTCATGGCCGACGCCGGGCTGAAAGTGCGTGTCATCTTGGTCGACGTCAACGATGACGTGGCCAGGCCACACGGATTTGCCATCAAGACAGAAGGCCACAAAACTCTACACTTGGCGTCGCGAACGGCCTTTGAACAGGAGCAATGGGTTCGCGCAATCCGAGTACGTTGTCCTCGAAACCGAAAGCTTTGCGACTATGTTGTTGTAGCTACAACTGACTAAAGGCAACCGATTGCTCGCAGAAGACTACGTGGCGTTTGGGTCGCAGCCGATGGACGTCCCGGTGTTCTACTCGCTCCTGTCGAGTCTGCTCCGCGAAGAAATCTCGGACTTTCCTCTGCTCTGCCGCAGCATTCACCCGGATGTCCTCCTCACATCCAACTACCCGCCGATTGTGCCATTCTGGGGCCAGTATCGACGGTACGATGGTCTGCTACTCTTCATTTCGGCGCTGCTAGAGACAGTTGACGTCGAGTCGTTCGAGATGGCCGACTGCGTCCAGATCATGCCGGACAAACTTCCGACCGACTGCTTGGTCCCTGCGAGTCCCGCCATCCCACACACCAAGCGCCTTGTGGTCACGGGCAAAGAAACCTTAGCGATCAAGCAGCCAAGCAATGCGGATAGAGGAGGCGGCGACGTCCGCCGCGTGACACAGCTCTTTGTGCACGAACTCTGGCTCGATTACAAAGATCGGCTCGTGCGGTGGCATGTCAATGGCGACTCCGTCGCTCTCTCGGTCGCATTTGACGCTTGCGACAAGGTACTCGACAAATGCAAAGACGAAAACTGACTTTCCTATGCAGGGCAAAGGGCTTCGTCTGATCTTGCCTGGAGAGACGTCCGCCATCCACCAAAGCATTCCCGCAGGCACGTTCTACGTACAGCTCCTGAAAGCGCATTCGCTCGGGTTTGTCGATGGACCGGACAAGAACCGTGGCGTCTACGTCCGATGTGTGCTGGACGAAGGCACGCACATCGAGCGAACGCTGGACGGTCTCAAGACCAAGGAATCAGTCGATGTGAGAGCTGCAGCCCCAAGTCCGGCGACCCGCTTGCTTCGCGGGATTCAACGGGTTACGGGCACATCGATGGAGCGGCCGTTTGCCGCGTTTGGCGACAAGAGTGGCTGTGTGACTCAAATTGTGTATCACACCGACGCCCCCGAGTGGAATTCAAATGTTCGCCTGGCGTTTCCCGGCTGTCCGCGCGGTGGCCAGTATTTTTTACGCATCGAGGTGTACCAGAGTCGCTTCATGAAGTCGGACGTGTTGATTGGAGTGTGCAAAGTCAACTTGAGTCCGCACATGGCGCTCTTGGCGGGATCGGCCGAAGCCAAGGCCACCGGCGCGCTCTCTCGATGGTACACGTTGTCCTGTCGCAGTCCATGTCACTCGTCACGACGACAGGTACAACCTGTGCGATATCTACAACGATTGTAAAGAGTGGTGGGCGCCACCGACGGTCTTCCGCGGCAAGATTCAAATGAGTATTGTGTTTGCCCCACATGCGACAGCGTCGGTGGCCGTGAACGACGCGCCCGTGTACCCAGCCGCGGACCATGACGCCACCGAGCGCATGCGGGAATACTTCAGGTACATCCGAGTTGCCTCGAGAAGAGCAGCTGAAGCGGTTGGATAGCACACAAGACAAAATGCTGACGGCGTCGCCGGGGTCGATGCACGGCCTGGAGACCAACATGCCGTCGCTCCTCCGGTCCGTGAGCATCTCAGACGTCGTCCAGCGCGACAACTATGTCATTATGGGCAAGAAATCGCTGTTTGACATCCCAAAGCGGTATCAAGTGATTAAAGTGCTCGGGTCGGGGTCGTACGGCGAGGTGATAGCAGCCAGCGACACCCACTCGGGCGCGTCGGTCGCGATCAAGAAGGTCCCGCAAGCGTTCCGTGAGCTCCTGGACACGAAGCGCATCTTGCGTGAAGTGTGTCTGCTGCGCCAACTACGCCATCCGCACTTGATTCGTCTTTGGGACGTCCTTCGACCAACGCGGTGTCTCGAGATGGAGGACATTTATCTCGTCACGGATCTCATGGAGACAGATCTCCATCGCGTGATCCACTCGACGCAGACACTGAGTGACCAGCACGTGGGCTACTTCATGCTGCAGATCTTCCGCGCCCTCAAGTACCTCCACTCGGCCAACATTTTCCATCGCGACCTCAAACCGTCCAATATACTCCTCACGACGCAATGCGAAGTCAAAGTATGGTCCAGCCTTGTACAAAATGATGGCGTGGTTCACGCGGCGCTTGCTCTAGATTTGCGACCTTGGCTTGGCCAGGTCTCTCGAAGAAATGGCGCCGATCCACGAAAACTTGACCGAATATGTTGTTACGCGATGGTACCGAGCGCCAGAGGTGCTCCTGGACGGGTCTCGCTACGGCGCGTCCATCGATATGTGGTCGGCGGGGTGCATCTTGGTACGACCGTGACCGCTTCGTCGATCGGGACATCATGCGCGCGTAGGCAGAGATGCTCGGTCGAAAACCGCTCTTCCCGGGGAGCAGCACGGTCAACCAACTCGGGAAAATCTTCAACGTGCTCGGCACGCCGTCGCCTGCGTACGTGAATCAGCTTCTAAAACCGGCCGCCCAGCGGTGGGTTCAAAAGCAGACATACCGACCGGCGCTTGCGTTTTCGGAGCTGTACCCCCAAACCAACACCCTCGCGCTCGACCTCCTCTCGAAGCTCTTGACGTTTGACCCGAAGGCGCGACTCACGGCCGATCAAGCGCTCGCCCACCCGTACATTACCAGCATCGGTCTTCCGTACGACGGCACCATGGACATCTTCGTTGGCTCGGTGGATTCGTCGCACGAGAACGTGCCCGAGGTGAAGGAGGACATGCAGCGTGCGCTGTTTGACCAGGTATGTTATTTTCACCCGGAAGCGCTGGAGGCAGAGAAGCGGCTTGCCGCGCAGGACGTTCCTCACGCCGTCAGCCCGAGTGGACGGCTTCGACGGGCGGCAACATAAACCCAACAACCTCGATCTCTGTTGTGGTGGTCCAGAACGTAGTTGGAACGCCAGACAGATTCTTGTACGGCGGCTGGAATGGCGCGGATTCGATTCACGAGCCGTCCGTTCGAGTCGAGCGTGCGTGACGAGATAGTACACACGACAGTCGCATCGTCGCGTTCGATAGACTGTTGCGCAAACACAAACCGCGCCGCTGCTCACATTTCGTTGAAAGGATCCACGCCACCATGGCGCTAGAGCTGTCGGGACCGCAAGTACATCTCTCTCCAGCGTGTGTGCCAGTGGAGGATCTTGCTTGGATTCTGCCCCATTGTGCTGCGCATTCATCGTTTCACAACACTCAAATGTCCAAGCTATGGGAAATCGCGTCCTCGGTGAGCGTACGGTGGTCGTGGCGGTCGTGACTAGACTCATCATTGGGGTGCACTGATCGAGGTCGTCAATGCTTCCCGCGTTCACCACCCCGACAACACACCGCGAAAGGAAGCGATCGATGCATTTCCCCTTCCTGTGCTCATTTTTCCAGACCAGTACACACCCAAGAAAGGACAGCCCACACTTGGACGATTTGTTTCACAGTCTGTACTCCACAGTGTATGTCCAACACTACAGACAGGGATGGTCGACGTGAAGTCGTCCGTCCGCCGTCTATCTTAGCGGTAACGCTTTCCACGTCGCGCTCGGTCGCGCGTGCATGCAAGACAGCCTCATTCAACCCTTGCATACGACAACAGGGACGCGCAGAACCTACAGCACTTGAGTCGCTTGGCTCGGCGACCGTCGTCGCTGTCATCCAACTGCCGTCCACGTCGACATCGTCCCCACAAACTACCGTCGTCGTGTGACGTCGGCGCAAGTCGTTCGCGTCGCCGTCCGCCGTCGATTGCGAATCTGACAAAATTGAACGCTTGTTTCTTTGGGTTCGAAATTCCGGTTGAAGTTGATGAAATGGACCAATCACCGGTCGAGTTCCCTCCTATATCAGTAGCCGCGCGGGAGGACGACGACGACGACGGGGCGGCCGATGATCGCCGCGACGACGTTGGTGGACGCGCAACACCAGGCGCTAGGCGGGGCACCACCATCGCCGAAAACCAATGGGTTTACAACGCGATGGCAAACGTTGCGCGCGTGGCGTGCGTCCCGGGCGAGATGCGGGGGTTTCTCAACTGATTCGCGAAACGGTCCAGCATTCGACGGATCTCGTTTTGACCGAGTCAGTCGCGATTGCGGTTTCGCCCTAGAACTGTTTCCACGGCCCACACGCGCGGCCCAAGCAGGAGGATCACTCCGCGATGACCGATCCCAAGCACAAAAGCACGGTCAACATCACGACAGGGGCGCATGTCCGCCGGCAGATCCCGGACTGGGAACGCAAGTTTCAGTGCCCCCATCCGCATTGCGGCAAACGATTCACGCGCAAGTTCTCCATGACCGAGCACATCAAAACGCATACAGGCGACAAACCACACGAGTGCACAGTTGTGGGATGCGGGAAGAAGTTTACGACGGCAGGCAACCTCGCGCGGCATCGCAAGATCCACGACGGGCTGTTCAACGACAAGGCAGACGCGTTGTCGCCGTCATCTTCGTCGTCGTCGACGTCGAACCGATTGGTGTCCAGGCGATCGTCCGAGTCGTTCCCGCAGCTACAAGCGAGGACCCCGCCGGGTCTCTGTCACGCTGCGTCCATCGACTTTCACAACCCCACACTTCAGAGCCATATTGATTCGCACCATCCCACGCATCCCTCGTCGGCGATCTCCGCTCATTTGCAGAAACGTCGTGCATCGCTGCCTGCCACTCTCCTTGGTGCACACGTGCGCTACCAACCTCCACACCACCCCGACGCGATCCTGGGGAACAACAACGACGACCACCTTCTCTTTGACGAGGCAACAATCCACCGAGCGAAGATGGATGCAATCCGAGATTTTGAAACGGGGCACAACCCCATGAATAAGTTTCATCAGCACCACCAACAGCCTCAAACGTCATACTGCCAGCAGTCGACGTGGAATATGCCGTCTCAGCAATCATGTTTCGGCAATACGAACAACTACATGAAGCACACGCGGAGTCAGAGCTTGACGCACCAGCAACTCCACTCGCACCTCCAGGCCATGCAGCAGCAGCAGCCGTATGGGTTCAAGTTTATGCATGGAGCCAACGGGTCATCCCATGAAAGAGGCCCACAACCCACAGACGTCGATTTTCTCCTTCAGGAAGACGACGAGGACAACCAGATGAAGACGTCGCCGGTCGAGTTGAAAGGGCTGCCGAGGCCATCGCCGTGGTCGTCTTCCAGCGGATACAATGGTGGCGCGTTGCCGCAACGATCGTTTGACCCCGAGATGATTCCACCCCCGCTGGATTTCGACGGAAGCTTCAACATGAATGATCCATTCTTCGACGAGAACGCCATCATCGACATGCTCTTTGGCGGCGACCGAAACGACCTTCCACAACAGCAGCACCCGACGCAAGTCGAGCCAACAGTCACGATATTTCACCAAGAACAACCAACGTTTGGCGGAAGGGCTTAAACAGTCAAAGGAGACGATAGGTAGTAGCAGGTAGCGCACACCGGGTGTAGCACAGTCACGAAGGGCGCAGGTACACACGTGGTAAATGGACAAATATACGTAAAGGGATGATTCATTCACAAGCTTAAATACAATGGGTGGACGCTTCCAGAGACCTACAAGTCTGTTTTTGTCGAGTGGATCGGCGCTGCTACAGGGATGGCGACGTGGGCCGGTTGGACCAGCAGATCACTGTCGCTTGTGGCTCGTCTCCGTTCCCGTATCTTCGCAAGCAATACCTCGCGTCGAGTCTTCCACGAGCAATAGGCATACGCTCCCATGGCAACAAGCACAGCGAACGCAGAGATGTACGTGAGGACGAGCACCGCAGATGCCATGCACTCTCTTTGCAGGTTCAACCCCTTTCTTCGAATTATCCGGATGACAGAATTGTTCTTTGAAGATTGATGAAGAGGACAAGCCGCTTATATAATTCATCTATATTGCTTGTCGTTTATTGCTTCCACAAGAATTCGCTCGTTCGATGCTCGCTGTCAACCTGAATGAACTTGTGGTGCCGAGAGCAACACGAGGCTCATTGCAATGTGTGCTGCGTTGCAAGGGCATGCATGCTGTCGTGAACCACAACAAACTCATTTTTAGTGAAATGAACCTTTGATGGTTGGGAATACTTTGTGCTTGCAATACATTCGATGCTGCATTGGTACAAATATGCATTGGGCCTTCGCTCTGTGATGCACAGTCAAGCTTAGTACGCTTCAGAGGGGGTCGTGGAAAGGTTTACAGGAAGTGTGGACGATTGCGAGGGGTTCCTGTGGCTGGTGCTTTTCGATGGAAATTCGACATTATTTGGCAAAATTGGGCCGGAAAATTCAAATTTGTCGTGGGTCGAGTGCTCTGATTGGCCGCCTCATGGCGTCTTGTACCAGCATAAAGTAAGTCACCATGCCAAGCATTCACCCCACTTTCACCGAGGCTAAGGCGCTCCATGCGACACACGCGACTGACAAAGACTTGCTGCCCATCTACCTGGACTTGACAGCAGACTTAGACACCCCAGTGAGCGTCTACTTGAAGCTGCGCCAGCAACAAACTGGTGTCGTGAAGCAGTCCTTCCTGCTCGAGTCCATCTTGCCAGGCGAAAACATTGCTCGGTATTCGTTGATCGGCACGGACCCATTGAAGACGTTGGAATCTGGTCCCAACTGCGCGTTCAAGGGTGATCCACTCGCTCAACTGGAGAAGGAGATGAAGACGTTTCGTGTGGTGAATCTTCCCGAACTAAATGTGCCCATGACAGGAGGCGCCGTGGGGTAAAGATCGACATGCCCCCGTCTACTTCTTGAGGAACTGTCAATATGGTTGCATGTAGGTATTGCAGCTTCGACGCAGTGCGCCACTTTGAGCCGACGGTCGGTCCGTTTGTCGACAAGCAGACCGACATTTTTGGCATCCCCGAAAGCATGTACATGCTGTTCAACACGATCGTCGTGTTTGACCACGTTTTTCACTCGCTCAAAGTGGTGACCCACGTCAACATCCATGGCGATTTTGAGTCGGAGTACCATGCCGCCACGGAGCGCATCTTCGCCATCCAGAGGCACCTTGATGCACCACTGGCTCACTCCAGCAGCAGTGCCCACGTAAACGACAAGGCAGCGCTGGTACGCCACGACCGTGTCGACTTTTCATGACGTGGCACGTGTTTTTCTCCAGACGGAAGTGGACTACGAGGCCATTTCGAACGTTGGTCGCGACAACTACATGAACTTCGTCACGACATTGAAGGAACACATCGTCGACGGCGACATCTTTCAAGCAGTGCCGTCACACGTAAGTCGCCACACCCCACCTCATTCATCCATGATTGCTCTCTAGCGCCTCAACATCCCGCTGCCGGACACCGTGACAAGCTTCGACCTGTATCGCCAAATGCGCGTGATCAACCCATCGCCTTACATGTTTTATTTGGATTTTGGCGACGGCCTCGAGGTATACGAAGTGGTTTTGTGTCAATATGATGGTGATGGCTTTCGTAGGTGGTTGGTGCGTCCCCGGAAATGCTGGTCAAAGTGAGCCAAGAGCGCATCGTGGAGACTCACCCAATTGCTGGCACACGGTAAACTCGATGATGCAGAGGTGGGCAGGGGATAACAGCGACATAGCCGCCGCGGACTTACTGCGGCCGACGACGACGCGCTCGCAGAAGAACTGCTCGCAGATGAAAAGGTTTGAATGTCGTCGTTGTCGAGTGTACGTCAAATGCACGATGCGTTAGGAACGTGCGGAGCACATCATGCTGGTCGACTTGGGCCGAAACGATGTCGGACGCGTGGCAGTACCTGGGTCTGTGCGAGTGGAAGCACTCATGAAGATCGAAAAGTACTCGCACGTGATGCACATTGTGTCGGTGGTGAAAGGCGACTTGCGCGAAGACAAAACTATCTACGACGCCTACCGTGCGATCTTTCCGGCTGGAACTCTCACGGGGGCCCCAAAGGTCAAGGCGATGCAGCTCATTTGTGGCCTCGAAAAAGAGCGACGCGGAATCTATGGCGGGTCGGTCGGGTACGTCGGGTTCAACGGGGTGCTGGACACGGCGATTGCTATTCGAACAATTGTTGTCCACAACAACCGCGTGTACTGCCAAGCCGGCGCTGGGATTGTGTACGACTCGGACCCTGCGGCCGAGTACCACGAAACCATCATTAAGCTCGGGTCGGCGGTTCGCACGGTCGAGAAATGCGTGCACCACAAGGAATCGAACCCGTAGATCGGTATCAGAGTACCTCCGCAGGTGCTGTTGTGACAAAGTCTAACGACAACGATATTTCACGTTGTGCTAAGCGATGATGTTCAGTGAACCGTGATGGAACTCAGACTGTAGCATGGTAGTCTGGTGGTGTGTGAACCGCTGCGGACGACCCTTTGTAGCGATGCAGCTACCTTCTGTACATCTTGTAGCACCGTGGTATCCCGCCAAAGAAGATTATGCATTCTTACTTGCGCAGCGCGCTTTCTCTTCCCATCACATCCACCTGCGTCTGTCGGTTCGCAAATGCGATGATGCGGTGAACGAGCTGAACAAGACTTTGTTGGAAAAATATTCGATTGTAAAGTACCTTTAAAACCATATACGTCGTGCCTCTAACCTCCGAGATTTTCACCGTGAAATAGTGTGACCTCGCTGGCCGAAACGTGGGTCGGACGGAGGTGGACGCATTTGGAAATCGGCGCGGTCGAGTTGACGCCGGCCGATGGAGTCAGGAGCAAAGGGCGGGTATGCGGCACACACGGCGTCCGAAGCACCCTCCCCTGTAAAAGTAACTCGGCCAAGGAAAAAGCACGACGACGACGTGGACCATCGGTATACCAGCCGCAAACGTGGCAGACGCGAGAAGGATTTGGACGGTGGTCATCACTCGCTTACAAAGTATTTGGACGAACCCCGCGAACACCATCGTTCATCTGTGGGAGAAAAAGCTGAATCTACGTCAAATGGGAATGTGTCAGCCGCAGGAATCGGCCCGTCTGTCCCACCTGGTGCTGTGTTGTTCCTGACCCATCCTGGGCGCGACGAAATCGCCAGCGGCAAGTCGCTGCTCGACTTGATGCGACGATCCAGCCGACTAAAGTCGAAACGACGAGACGATCCTCGAATGGAAGAAGCCTACTTTGCCGTTCATGATACTGTTTTGGTCCCTCAGGGCCTGGTGGACAAAATCGACGCCAAGCTGAAGGACGACTTTCTCGCCAAAGTTGTGGCCGACCACACAAACAACTGGATCCAAATGAGCAACTTTGTGAACAATCGCGAATTTATGCAGAATCTCGTACAAGTCGTCCAGCCACGTTACCCATGTCCCTACCCAACTCTCTTGGACGAAGTCCTCATTTCGTTCCTATTCCAGCGCCCCGAGGTAGACTTGAATCTCGCGTTTGATGGCTAACAACGTATTTGCAGTACGCTGACACGTTACTCAAGCCACTTATTCAACGTCTCTCACACAGCAATGAGCCCGTTGCAGCCGACAAGCACTCTCTCGTCCTTGCGATGCAACGGCACATTGCCCAGCTCAAGCGCAATCACGGCCACGGCGACATGGCAGCGCTATCGACGCGGCATCAAATTGCGACATTGGCCATCATGAAGACGCTCTTTGAAGGAAACGACAACCTGCTCTTGCTTCCGTGGATCCTTACCTGTCTGCACGCGTGCACGGACTCGTTGCTGCATGTTATTGTAGCCAAAGTGACCAATTCGATCGGGTGCTTGGCGCTTCTCCAGCCTGACCCGCACAACTTGCAATGGCTGCGCATGTGGCAGCAAGAACACTGGGACGTTCCGCATGCCGACGTGCAACTGGAAGGGTTGGTGCGACTGGAACGAAAGCAGCTCCACGACGCCCCTGCCGACCGTTCCTGTGGGTCGTTCCACCGTGCCGTCGTTCGTGAAGCGCTCAACCAGTTTGGCAATCAACCGCAGAACCGATTTCATTTGTTTGGCGAAGCGTTTGACGCGTTTTTCGACCGTGCGACGGCCATGGACAGCTTTCCGCTCTTGGAAGACACCGTGCAGAAATACCCACCACCGTACCCCAACGACACTTCTTACACTCATCCCGTGGTTGCCATGATTGGCCTCTTCAAGCAGACAGTTCCGGTCGGGAGCCCGTGGTTCGTCGGCCATTTGTGGCCGTTCGTTTTGCAACGTTATTGCGACGTGGCTACCCTTCGCACCATCTTCCAAGAGCATGTGTTGCCGCTAGTGTTTGGCACCGCTGACACTGGGAGTCGGGACCCAATGCTGGTAGGCATGGAACCACTGGTGACGTTTCTGGACGCAGTCCACACTGTCAGCATATCGACCGCAAGAGAAGTGTTTCAGGTGTGGGCTCAAGTGTGGATGGATTCTTCGTTTGATGTCCCCACTCCCGTTCTCCTGACGCTGCTTTGTGTGGCGTTGGGTCTGCAGCACGGACACTGGACGACCTTGGCTGGTGCAGCCGTTGTCGACGAATTCTGCAAATTTACAAGTGCCATCGGCCATGCATTCTTTGCGTCCCTCATGGCGCACACGCCGGCGCCTAATTTGTCGCCGATCTCGTGGCTTTTGCGAGCTGTCCTCTTGAGCAAAGGTGGGTTGTCACCGAATCTCGTCGTACCCCTATGCCAACAAGTTTTGGTTCATTTGCCGGAGAAGCCGTCTGTGCAATGGAATGCGATGTTCCAACGGGTCCTCGCGATGGCCCTAGTGGTTGAGGAGGGCTCACCGGCTGCAGCAGACTCTGCAACGTTTTACGACTCAGAAACCAGCACTGTTGTACCGTTCCCTCGGCTTACGCCTTCCATCCATCAAACCACGGACCCCGTCATTGTGTCCCGCCTCCAGGTCTTGACTGCGTTGGTACGTGGGAAGGTGATGCGTCCCAAGCATGTCTTGACAATCATTGTAGGTCCTCGACGACTGCCACCCAACGGCCGCGCAATTTATCCGTCGCCAACTTCTGTCGGACTCTTCCTTTCAAGCGCTTCTCGACTTGGCTTCATCCACCTGCCGCGACGTCGCGAGTCACACGCTGACGCTTCTGTTGGAGCTCGTCCCACCCGCCTCCGAAGACATCGGTGTGTCGCCTTTCAGTCAGGAATTCGTCGTCGAAGCTCTTGCGCGGTTGGTGAGCTCCCCGCAACAAGATGTGTGCAAAGGGGCCCTTTCAGTCCTGGATCGATTGGCAGCTCAGCACCCCGACCTGCTGCCACTTCAGCTCCTGGGGCATTGTGTTAGTAGCTCCGTCATCGACGTATCAACCATCGTCCACCTCACAAACGTCACCAAGCAAAGTATGTCTCGAATGGCCGTTGAAGCCCGTTGCTGGCGAGATGTGGTCCAGTTCATCGACCGCCAATTCCTGCTCTGCATGGTTGGGCAATGGCAAGATGCGTCGCCTCAACACGTCGCCCTCCTGATGCTGCGGCATATGTGCCACGCTGACCTCCGCCCTGAATGGTCCAAGTTGATCTGCCACGGAATCCGAACGATGGAGACGTCGACCGAGCCACTGTGCCTCATCCAGCTCGACATTGTGCTCTGGATAGTGTCGCACGATTCAGACCACCGCTTTCGACCGGACTTTGAGCTCGCGAACGCCCACCAACAAGTCGAACGGCTGCTAATACTCCCGCGGTGGCAGGTGCCGTCGGTCATAACGATGGCGCGCCAAGCATTGAAAGGTTTAGAAGCCTACATGGCTGTAGAGAGCGCCGCGCAAGTTGCGGCGGTCAGGGGTTGACAAGTGGCCCGAAATATAATTCAATCTATACAATGGTTTTGTATAGTATAAAAATGACTCGGCTGTGCCCTCTCCATTCGATTTTGCACAAGGTGCGACGATGGCAGGGAAACTCCTGACGCCGCTCGAAATCGAGGGAATGTTCGACAGCGCCATCAAGACTATCGAGTCGCTGTACGAAGGCAAAGAAAAGTCGAACAAGGAACCGCGGTCAAGTGCTGCGCCCTCGACAGGAAAGGCTGTTACGGCTGAAGTGCAACCCAGTCGGCACAAGAAGCGGTGCCCATTGCATCCATACTCGTCGTTCAAGAATCAAAAGTTGCTCGTCGCGCTGGCCAAACTTGTTCGCGCAGATCAGGCAAAGACGTCGGTGTACACTAGCATGCCAGCACTGTTCACTGTCCCGGATCGAGAACCGTGGCCACCAACGCTTCGTGGAGGGACAGTCAACATCCAAGGGTTTCGAACCGCTAAAGCAAAGGGAAAAATCCATCCGAAGATCGTCAAGAAGCTCGACGCGATCAAGTTTGTGTGGGACCTCCACCAGCACAAATGGGACGTAAATCTGTGGGGCCTCCGCATCTACAGGTCTGCCTACGACCCGCAACTGAACATCCCTCCAACGTTCGTGGTCGGTGACAAAGACCCTGCCTTTCCTCGTGACTTGTGGAAGTTCCCGCTCGGACAGTGGGTGGCCGACATTAAAGCCAACATTTGCACGGTCCCCGAAGACAAGAAGCGGCTATTGGGACAAGTTGGACTGGTCTGGGTTGAATGATCAGTTGCTGGTTTGGCGTCGCACATGACGAAACAAAATCTCTGCACTTGAGGCCCATGGGCTGCGCCACGTCCGACCCAAGTCGTACGGATTCCTTCCTGTGCAGATCCTGCTTTGCCTCGAAGCCGCACAGCAGGCATTGGTCGGTACATGTTTGCAACCCCGGCGTAGCCAAGGACCGCTCAGACCGTCGCCTAAGCTAGCTCATTCATGCATGTCATTCAACTCAAATGCCATCAGTTTGGCTATGAAGACGATAGAATGCATCTCCAACAGCTCTCATTCCTTGCCACCAACATCTCGCGAAAAGCAGCCATCTACATCAACGCACACTTAATGAATCCTGTGACACAGACGAC